AAAAACCTCAGGTACAAAACTTATTGACCCAGGTGTACATCATATACCGGTATGTAGAAATTTGATATGCATGATGCAGTATGACGTCAATGCAGTGACCAGTGCACTGCACTAGCTGCTCCACTGCCAGCTGGCTGTCATGTGGTTTGCTGGTCCACTCCACAACAGTACAACTGTGCCGCTGCGCCCACTCGATAGTAGTACTGGCAGTGGTACTAGGGGAAATCCATTGCGCCCGCGCGTGAGCTTAGCCTTGGAAGTTTTCCTAGGTCCAGGATCCGGGTTTTCTTGCTCTGCAGAACCTGATCAAGATTCAAGGGAGATTGGAAAAGGAGGCTGGGTAGTTGGCTCTGGGTTTAGAGGGGCCAGCTCAGTCGTCAGAAACGTTTGGACATTGTAACCAGCGTGGTATCAATGCGTGCAGGCCTGTTGGATGAGATACATTGTCAATCGATTTGAGTTTCGGGCCCAGCATTCTGCACCGTGGGTCCTGTGTGCGGCGCAATGCAGTCGGTTGTGAGCAGCCGGGCGTGCTTTGAAGCCAACCTCAGGCCAGCATGTTCCGCTGCCCTCCAGGGGCAGAATCAAGGACGAGTGGAGGCATTTTGGAGTCCAAGCGGCGCCTGTGTAAATCCTTCCTTTGACGGTCTTCGGCGAGCTCCCTTGTTGTGAGTCTTCTACCAAGCATACAGGTCTCAGAGGGCCCGTTGTGGATGCTGGGTCATTTGCTGTGCCGAGTTGCGATGGTAATGGCCAAAATTGTGAATTTGAGAATCTCAGCAGCTGATGAGGCACCCTGACCATAAAACATCCAGGCAGAATTATTGCAATGTGGTTGGAGCTCCAGTTGGTAATGGTTGTGATTTGAGACGGCGCCGTGCTGTGAAGCTCCCCTGTGTTCGCTGACCTTGATGTTGGTCAGGTCATCGTCTTCTTGTAGTGGCATTGAGTTGCATCAGCTCATTGTCTAGCAGTCCTTAGTAACCCCTCTGCACTGTGCAGCTGCCCTCTCTGATTACAGAAAGTGCACACCAATGCAGGTTCCAGTCACATTCACAGGAGTTGAAAACCCTATCCGGCACCCCCTTCCTATCACCATGCCGGCAGACAAGAACTGCGACACCTGCTCGAGCGGTGGCCGCAGGTACGAGTTGCTGAGAACTCTCATTTTTTTTTCATCAGAGGAGTGGCGCCACATTCTTCCTTCTTTTATATCAGGAGTGCCACGTTCTTCGTTTGAAATAGGAGCAATGCTGTGTGTCGAGGGGCCACAGCAGCGCTTTGCGAGTGCTTTGGTCTTTTTCTTTGCCGGCGCCCGATTAGGTGGACATCCAGATGGTTCTCGTTTCTGGTTCAAATGAAAAGTTGAGCTCTGATGGAGACAGTGCAGACGTGCTGTTCAAATTCTGAGATCTCGCCCGGGGCGCAGGTGCGGAAGTGGATATTGCCACCGAGAGTGGTTCCGGCAAGCAGGTGGAGCGCGGTCCCGCCTGGTCGGTCCACAAGTTCGGGGGCACGTGCGTTGCCAACCCCGAGCGCATCAAGAATGTCGCGCAGATCATCACCGAGGACACAACCAGCAAAAAGGTGATGCTCTCATCGGCGTCGGACGCACGATCGGCACAGCCACTCTAGAGGTTGATGTTCCCGAGGTGTACATTGGCCCTGTGATGCAACACCAATACAGATCCTGTAAGTTTTGCAGTTCCCTTAATTGTTCCCTTTGCGGACCCGTTCAACAGAGGCTTTTTGAGAGAAGATCTCAACCCGGGACAGTGAAATATTCTTGGTTCCCACTGTATGACATGATGCTGACGCGTGCAGGCGGTGGTGGTGTCAGCAATGGCCAAGGTCACGAACCGGCTGTACAGCCTCGTTGAATTGGCAGAGTCTCGGGACCCCGCATATGTACACGAACTCGACGCCCTGTTTGAGCATCACAAGTCAGCAGCGGAGGAGCTGCTCTCGGGGTCGGACCTGGCGGCGTTTGTGAAAGTGCTCACCAGCGATATAGACGACCTGAAAGCAATGCTGCGGGCCATCTCAATCGGTGAGCAATGCCCATCGGTATTTGAGTGATTACACATGGCAAGGTACCTTCGAGGGTGTGTGCCCTTTGTGGACGTACATTCTAAGTCGATCTCAAGAGAGATGTGATTCTCGTGGGGGTCCATGAGGATTGGGAGACAATTGGAGATCCTTTCAGCAGAGTGAGAGGGGAAGCAACTTTGGAATCCATCTTGCAGCTCGGCCCCATCCTAGCATACTGTCCCTCAACCTACTGACACAGACAAAGTTACCTGTCAGCTGCAATGCCAAAACGTATCGCGCCAGCCTGCCAAGTCATTGCTCTTGATCTGCCATCTGCAGCTGGCAATGCCACGGAAGCATTCACAGACTATGTTGTGGGGCATGGAGAGCTGTGGTCGGCGCAACTGTTGGCAGCAACAGTCAGAGCTGTGAGTATCCCCCCAATCCCCATGAACTTGGCACTAAACTGCGAGAGCTTGTTGCTCATGAGAGAGACAGAGAGTACATTTGGAAAGCTGCTTTTCAGCACCTTTTGTTGCAGTCTTGATCTGGAATAAGGATCATGCTCGGGGCCTTGTCTTTCCAGTTAAGCTTCGGTTCCCAATCGGAAGACCTCCTTCAAATGGTACACAGCATGTTTGCTTTTGCACAAACTCTTCTGAGCTGTCCTGCAGCGCTGTCGCACACTGCTAGGGGCCAGGACGTCTTTGCAAAATGCATGATCATCAAACCTGAACTGCCTACACACGTGTTATTGCAGCGTGGAGAGGCTGCCACGTGGATGGACGCTCGTGAGGTTCTGACGGTCATCCCGACCAAGAGGCACACCGAGGTGGACTTTAAGCTGTCGTCGAAAGCTGCGCCGTCCAGCCAGGTAGGGGGGGAGGACAAACTTTGTTGCAAACGTCCACTTGACACGAGGACAGCTTAAAGTTCGATCCTTTGGCCCTCTAACCGTTCGTCTTTCTTCAAGTGTCACCGTCACTTCATTGCTTTGCAATCATCTGCACCGGATCGAGTAGTGTCAGACTCGCAGTAAGTGGGTTGTGAGAACCAGAAGTGGTCAATGAAACGTAGTAACTTTGTGCTGTATCACGACCTCTACGCTATAGAGCTCGTCCAGAAAGGCTCTTGCGCTACCCGCTGCAAACTGACGTCGTGCTTTGTTGACGTCATCAGGTAGACCCCAACTACGAGCTTTCGGATGCCCGGCTCGACCAGTGGTTCACACAGAAAGGCGCAGACACGATCATCGTTACTGGGTTCGTGGCGCGCACGCCCGACGGCATCCCAACCACGTTGAAGCGGGACGGGTCCGACTTCAGCGCGGCGATTATGGGGGCGCTGTTCCGGGCTGGGCGCATCACAATCTGGACGGACGTGGACGGAGTGTACAGTGCTGACCCACGAAAGGTGAGGGTATTGGTTGCAGGCTCTTTGACGGGGTCGGGCTGGGAGTTACACCATCGGAAAGAGGGGTTGAACCTAGACGAGCATAGGGGTTGGTTGTGGCGTCCTTTTGTTTGTGCCCACCCTCGCTTGGATTGATGTTGCCGTTCGGCTGAACGTTTCAAACCTTTATTGAGCCGTTTCTCCAGCTCCTGAGACGTAGCAGGCCACAGCATTCCTAAGGCTATTACCAAAGGCCTCGTGCGCTAGCCGCTCAACTTACCTGCCGCTCTCCAGGTGTCGGAGGCGGTGGTGTTGCCGCTTCTGTCCTACCAAGAAGCGTGGGAGATGTCGTACTTCGGCGCCAACGTGCTGCACCCGCGCACGACGCTCCCGGCCATGAAGTACGACATCCCGATCACGATCCGCAACGTGTTCAACCAGGAGGCCCCCGGGACCAAGATTTGGAGAATGACCCCCCCTCAAGAGGAGGGCCAGGAGCATCTGCTGGGCGACGGGGTTGTGAAGGGCTTTGCGACGATTGACAATGTGGCCCTCATCAATGTTGAGGGGTAAGGGAAGCAGGGACTCAGAAGTACTATCACTGCGCATGAAGGAAAGAAATGTGGAGGATTTAGGGAGAGGAGAAATAAGAAGAGGAGGCAGGGAATGGAGAAAGGAGCAGCCAGGCTTGTGCCACGCATTGCCAGCACAGTTGGCAACCGAACGGACTGCTGTGGTTACTGCTCTGAGGACGAGCTTGCGCTCGACACTCTTCCATGCCCCGCTGTACGTACGATGCAGCGGCATTTCATTCCAAAAGTGGCGGCTTTGCTCAATCAGGGTTGTCTTGGACGCTATCACCGAGTCATTACCTTCTCTGCTGGCAGCACGGGCATGGCGGGCGTCCCTGGCACGGCGAGCGACATCTTCTCGACGGTCTCCGTCGTGGGCGCCAACGTCATCATGATCTCCCAGGCCTCCAGCGAGCACTCCATCTGCTTCGCGGTCCCGGAGGCCCAAGCCCAGGCCGTCGCGCGCGCGCTTGAGTCCAAGTTCCGGCGCGCCCTCGACGCGGGGCGCATCGCGAAGGTGGAAGTCCTCCCGAAATGCAGCATCCTGGCCGCTGTCGGCCAGAACATGGCGAGCACCCCCGGGGTCAGCTCGATGCTGTTCAACGCGCTCGCGAAGGCGAACATCAACGTGCGCGCGATCGCGCAGGGGTCGTCGGAGTATAATATCACGGTTGTAGTGGAGCAGGGGGACTCGATCAAGGCGTTGAAGGCGGCGCACAGCCGGTTCTATCTGTCCAAGACGACGCTCGCGGTGGGGGTTGTCGGGCCGGGGAACATCGGAGCGGAGCTGCTGGACCAGTTCAAGGCGCAGGTCAGGGCTTTAATTGGGCCGTTCGTCTGCGGTCGTCTTTCTCTGCGGTTGGAGCTTTCTAAGAAGTTTAGATTGCTGACGCGTACCCCAGACTTGATAGGTTGAGGGCCGAAACCGCTAAGCGATCTATCCGCCCGTGCGCGGTTTCTGACAGCGTGAAGTTGCTCGAAAGCGGAGCGGTCGAATTGCCGCAAAAGCATTCCACGAGAAGCAATAACTTGTTTGTTCTATCTTACTGCCCCGTTTTGACTATGTTTCCAATCTGGCTTGTGCTGAGCTTCGCTGCTTGTGAGTCGTATGTGCTGACCCCCGTCGCTTGTAACTTGCAGACCTCGAAATTGAAGGAGGAGTTCAACATCGACCTGCGGGTACTGGGGATTGCTGACTCGAAAAAAGTGCTAGTAGACGAAAGGTACGAGCACGCCATGTATCTCGTTAAAGCCGTACTGTTTTTTTTCGCCCGTCAAGGACCAATCATCACCATCTGAGTCGCGCAGATGTGAGGGCAATCGCAACTCGTAACAAACCTGCCTTCTCTTCGTTCTACCTTCTTGTGTACACATGGTTGTCTAGAACAAGGGAAGCGTGCGTCGTCAAACCATTTCAAACATCGAACTCTGGTCCAGAGGTCTTCAATAGCACCCCGACTCGCTTGGCGACAATTTCAACCGCTAGCGCTCTCTGCCTATTGCGCATCACCAAGAAGCCGTCGTCTACTGTATTTTTCTGCTTTTCAGCGGGATCGACCTGGAGCGGTGGCAAGCCCGGCTGGACGAAGACGGCGCGCCCGCGAGCTTGGACGACTTCACGGCGCGCATGAAGACCAACTACTTCCCCAACACCGTCATGATCGACTGCACCGCGAGCGCCACCGTTGCGTCCTTCTACCAGCGCTGGATCCGGCAGGGCATGCACATCATCACGCCCAACAAGCGCGCCAACTCGGGGCCCCTCGACTACGTGAGGACCTCCTGCAGAACCCTAACACTAACCCTAACCCTAACCTCAACCCTAATCCTAACCCTTGTTCGTGACGCGGGCTCCTATGGATTGTATTCTCAAATCAGCAAGGACCCTTCGTTTCATGCTTGAAGAAATTGGCGCTTTGTTGGCGGGCTCTGCTGGCTGCCTTACTTTGGCCTTCATATTTACCGGGAAACCAAAGGCACCATTCTGAACGGAACTGCCACGTTCCTTGTCCCCGCAGTACCTGAAGCTGCGGGAGCTGCAGCGCAAGTCGTACACGCACTACTTTTACGAGGCCACCGTCGGCGCTGGGCTGCCCATCATGAGCACGCTGCGCGGGCTGCTCGAAACGGGGGACAAGGTCGAGCGCATCGAGGGCATCTTCAGGTGCGGCACACGGCAATACGTGTGCTGTTGTTGCGAGTTTCCCCTTCCCTTGTTCGCGGTTTGCAGGCTGGTCTGCCTGGGTTTGGCAGCGGGTTGTTTAGGTTACGCCTTGCAACCTGGCAACCGTGCACGTGTAGGAGTATTAACGACGCGAGATGTGGGTCGCGATCCGGAGAGTTTCGAACGCCCATCACACGTGGCTCCGTTGTGCCGTACTGGCCTGCTTGAATCCTTCTGAGCCAAGGCGGCCTAAATCTGCAAATCAGTAACCCACTGTTTTCCACTTCGATTTGAATCTAGCAGTTGAGCCCTCCCGTTGATGAGCGCACGTGTCTCTTTCTACAGCGGCACTCTGAGCTACATTTTCAATAGCTTTGACGGCTCCAAGCCGTTCAGCGGCATCGTGAAAGAAGCCAAGGAAGCGGGCTTCACCGAACCCGACCCACGGGACGACCTCTCCGGAATGGACGTCGCTAGAAAGGTGAGCTTTCAAGCTTTTGGATCAGAATTTTATCCTGTAGCGGGCACTGATTTTGACAATCGTAGTGTTTTCAGACAACAGCTTGCGAAAGATTCTGCATATGCGTACATTGCCTTTCGGTCTCTTTCTTGACCGCAACGGGCTGCAGCGAGTAAGTTCTTCGTTGCACGAGAAACACGGGAAACGACACCAGCACTTTGACTTCCTTCGCCCTGTACTGTAGAGGTGCGAGGGCTGTGACAAAAACTCCATACGTTCAAGCACCTTAAGCGGTTGCCAGCTTTGCATCACTTGCATGATTCCTAACCGTGTGCTTGAATCCTAATGTTTGGCGAAAAGTCTGCGCTGTCGAGATAGATCAACCGTCGGACGCGTCTTGTTTACTTACGCTTCGACTCTGCAGGTCACTATCCTGGCCCGAGAGTCGGGACTCCGGTTGGAGCTAGAGGACATCCCCATCCAGAGCCTGGTCCCGGCACCCCTAGCGGTGAGCACTTGTCTGAACTACACCGCTCTCGTCATCATTGTTAGAATCGTGTGCGAAGCTCTGACCTTGTCATGCAGGCACCTACGTCAAGGACACCGGTTGTCACGCCTGGAGCTGTTGTTCGACGTTGGGATAAGAAGTAGACGCTTCTATAGTGTTTTGAAGCGTACCTCTCGGTACAAGCCGCTGTGCCACCTTTCCGCAATTGATCACTCGCTGACTTGAGCTCCGGCACTCTCTTGCCAGGAATGCAAAACGGTCGACGAGTACATGTCAAAACTGCCCGAGTATGACGACGATCTATCCCGGCAACAAGCCGAGGCTGAGGCGGCCGGCGAGGTGTTGCGGTACGTGGGTGTGGTAGATGCCGTGAACGGGAAGGGTAGCGTGGAGCTTCGACGGTATCCCAAATCGCACGCGTTTGCCCAGCTGTCGGGCACGGATAATATTATCTCGTTCCAGACCACGCGATACCATGCTCAGCCGCTTATAGTGAGGGGCCCGGGGGCGGGGAGAGAAGTGACCGCGGGCGGCGTGTTCAGCGATATATTGAGACTAGCGGCATACCTTGGAGCTCCTTCGTAGTTTAGCAAGCTCTAGGTTCGAAGTTGAATTCTGCTTATGAACGAAAGGTCTTCGATGGAACGAGGATAGATGAAGCGCAGGGTTCAAATTGAGGTATCTTGCAGTACTGGTGAATCGAAGTACCATTCTACCGTCAGTCACATGTGCCTAACGTTGATTCGTAAGTAACAGGTGCATAATTGCATATTTAGGTGTGCAGTACATGCATCGAAGAATTTCAACCAGGCACGCTGCGCATGCCGCCCGCGCCCAATGACGCTAGGAGAGCCTTTTCGATAGAACACGTACATATTTCAGCCTATCCTTGTATATTATCATCACACATTACGCACCGTACTCCTGGCAGATCCCTTGGTGAGCCACCGGAATGCATCGTATCATTTTTCCATTCTTTCGTACCGGCTAATCACGTTGAGTCAGTGATCAAGTTAAGCAGAGTTTGGGCCCCGATGCAATGTCTTTATAAGCAATCAAAACAACCATGATGAGCGGTATACAGTAGCATTAGGGTTCGTTACAGGTCTACACCATAAAGCCTGCATATGTTCAGGCGCAATTTTAATCTCTCGGAGCCGCAGGGAAAACGTTCTCCGCCAACCGCCAAAAATTTTGGCGATTTAAATCGATCAGTGTACAAATCTTTGATACTATAGTATATTGAAGTCAGAGTGCCAGATTAATCAGGTATTGTAGAATGCTGTAGTGTCGACCTGTGCACACTAGTACGGGGTGAACTTGTATCAATTACTTCTTGAACTTGGCCTCGACTTTCTAAAACGGATCCAAACGTAGGCTGCAGCTCGAGTTGCAAAACTTGACGTGTGCAAAGTTTGCATTAAATGCATACAGCCACTACGAGTTCCGACCGACTTGCGAGAATTAGTCGCACTTTGTATGCTCTACGTATCACAGTCACAAGCCTAAGAAACGAAACAACTGTATAGTGTCTTCAGAATCCAAACCCTTTGCAAACGACGTACAACCATGCCTTCAGTATCACGCGTTTACAGTCGGAACCTGTTCCTGCTTCGGGTACAGATTTCCCAACAACACGAATTCACATACACTCGTAAACACACAGCGACGACGTACATTTTACAACCCCCGTCATCAGTCACTAGGTAAACCAAGGCCTCGAGGGGCTCAGCCGGGGGCCTTAATCAACAAGTTTGACGAAACCCGGAAACTAACCCTTCTCTAAACCCTCCCAACTAACGACTCTGGAAATTGAACTTCTTAGTGGCGTAGATGACGATCGCCCAGAATACGGCGATCATGACGATGAGGATAAAAGCGGCCCAGCCCAGGAAGCTGTGCTTATAGCCAAAGTACGAGTGGACGAACTCCTGTACGGTCTGGGGGGGCGCCCCCTGGGTGAACGGGAAGGGGCCCTCGGTGACGTCACCCAGCTGGGAGCCCACCAGCCCGTAGAGCGTCCAGGAGACTGCCCGGGACAAAAGAAGAGACCGGTGAATTGCTCGAACAATTTACTGACGGGCTATCAGAAAAGAATAACGCTTGAGCATCTTCGAAGTCATGATGATAACGAGTCATGACCGTGAATGGAACGAGAACGAAACGAGACTATGGAGAGTAAGTCTGGAGAGTTCGTGGGTTGCACGAATCTGCAGCTCGGACCGCGAATGCTGGATTAATGTAAACGGAGTAGAAGTAGCGCCAGAGGCTGATGGAGAACTAGATAGAGGGGAGCAACGAGAAGGAGCGGAGCACGTACCTGGGTCGAGGTAGTACATCCAGACCCACCACCCGGGGACTGCGACGAAACAAAAGCTCTGACGTCAGAAAGCAACGTCACGTGCAGAGATAAATGACGCTGCTTTACGCTCGAAGCCTTTGCGGCCCATAAGACATTCGGGCACTCCTTAATGGAAAAGCCCGACGTAGAACGCGTTGGTGTGCCCTTAAAGCCTTTTCTTCCTTTCCCACTTTGTACAAATAGAACGGCAAAGAAAAAGGGTCGCTGGTGGCCGTCTTTCGTCGCTTGTGCGCAAACATCTGACAGATGCGTCACTGTGCGAAATTCTCACAGGGGTCCACCGAGCGTCTTCGTGAAAATGGTGATATCCAGTTCACGCTTCTTGTCTAATCGTTCTTTGAAAGAGACCTTTAGGATCGCACTTCAGCTGTTCCTACCAGAACTTTGATTCAGAAAGTTTTGCTTTCGCGCGCTCGCTGTTGCAGTGCGGGATGAGGAACCCGCAGAACGAGTTTAAACATAGTGTTGATACTTGATATTGATTTCCAAGTTTCCAGGGAGCGGGGGCTTTATAAGATAGGTTTAGGATGTTAAGCCTGGATTTCAAAGTCATAAGTTTCAATGTCGGGTTGCGGGATGGGAAAGCCGCAGAAGGGGTGTCAGACGCAAATCTGGAACGCTTTAAGGAGGGTTTTCGTTTCTGCAAGGGTTCAGGGGCTCTGATAAGAAGGGTTTCAGGGTTGGGGCCTCCCTGTTGGCCTGCAGGATGAGGTAGCCGCAGAAGAGATTCCCAATGCAGTTGTGGAAGACTTTTGAAAGGGTTAACATTCGTTCCAGGGTTTGGGGCCTCTGTTAAGTAGAATTTCCAAGCAAAAATTGGGTTTCTGGGTTCTGAGCCTCACTGTTGGGCTGCGTGATGAGGAAGCCGCAGAAGAGATTCCAGACGGAGTACATCGACGAGCTGAGGACCGCGGCGAGCTGCACGTTGGGCGTGATAGCCACCGCCATCATGCCGTAGAACGTGAAGAGCATCAGCGTCAGGAACATGAACAGCACGTACCAGAAGAACTTGACTGCACGCGGAAAAGGGGGGGAAGGTTTAGGGGCAGTACGGAGGGGGGGGCGTGAGAAACATGTGACAGAAGAACTTGACTGCACGCGGAAAGGGGGGGGGGTTGTAAAAGGCAAGACGGAGGGTGGGGCGTGAGGAACGTGTGACGGAAGAACGCGGAACCAGGTCAGCGTTTGGACAAAGGGCTGCAGGCGGGTGGAAAAGCTCAGTGAAGAGAGGAGGGGAAACGTTGGAGAGCACCGTATCGCAAGACACCGGCTGCGGAAGTGGGCAAAGCGGATAACAGGTACGATAATTAGGGAGTCAAACGGTGATGAACCCGGGGGCGGGACGGAACGGTGTGAGCAAGAAGCGTCGGGAAAACCCGGCTGCACGGGAACCGGGGAACGTTGGGGCGACAATCGGGTGGTGGCGCCAAGCAAATAAGCGACGCGACAAGCGAAGAATTTTGTATTGTTCTTCACAGTGGATCAGAAGTTACCTGCGGTCCACTCGAAGTGGATAAGGGAGTAGGTGATGAGGCTGTAGATGATTGACTGGACTATCACGTACGGGAACTCGATTGCGCCCTGCACGGAAAAGAGCGGGTTTGCGAAATGAGCTCTGGTTCGCTTTCCACCGCTGAGTTTGTTGAGCGAGTTTTCCGCCCAGATTGGAAAAGTTGGTAGAAAAGGTGTTCGCTTGTTTGAGAAGCAGAATCCAGGTTCCAAATGCCTCAGCGCTTCTTCGGACGTCCTTAACCGGCTTGAGCGCCGACCTTCGAACCGCGACTTCAAAGCGATCCGTCCGTTCAAACTTTCAATCGGTATTCTGTCAGAGCTCCTGCATTCAGCGGAACGGTATAGTTACGAGGCTTGCATCCTGGCTGTGGGTCAATTGACCAGCACGGTCCCCGATTCCTGAAGTGACTGTATGTCTTACCCGAATAGCAAGGCAGGTGCAGGCACGAAAATCCGACCCGGCTCTCCGCACTCAGCCTAAAATGCTCGAAAATCATCGAGATTCGACCATGCAAGCACGTTACTGAGTACGAAAAGAGATGTTTAGCATGTTTTCAGACTTGGTTAGGAAACAATCCTCTTCATGCCAGCATACATGTCTACGAGGCATGGCGCTTTCTAGACCAGGACAGTTTGTGCTGCAACACACCTGGATAAGCAAGGGCTTCCTAAACCAGTGCTTCTTTGTGCCGCGACACACCTGGTTAAGAGGTCACGGGCTCCGTCAACCAGGCTTTTTAGTGCCGCAACACACCTGGTTAAGGGTCGAAGGTTTACCTGCGCGAGCGTGTAGGGGATCGCCGAGTACATGCCCGCAGCGCGCTCGCGATAGAATACGGACCGCTCAACGGCGACCACTGGCTGAACGGTGGACGCGTTGGAGACGCCCAGAAACAGCACCGTCGCGTATAGCCCACCGCACACGTTGAGCAAGTCACCGGTCGTGTGCCTGTGGGAAAGTAGCTGATGTCACTCATCAGGGGCAGCGAACGTAAGCAGAAGCGACAAGAGAGCGGGCAGCCCGACAAACAAGGAACGGGAATCAGAAGCTGATGGTTTGTGAACCCACGGCAGGAGAATCACGTCTCGCAAGAAGAGGACTAGGCTACTACAGTAAGCGAACCTCTCAGGATCATAAAAACCCCCCAACAAATGTCAGAATCTGCTCCCATTGCTGACCCATCTTTCATGGAAGCCTGGGTCCGAAGGAAAGGGCCAAGATCCGCCACTATTCTAAAACCCTAAAACCCCAAAACCCTAAAACCTGGTGACCCACTCCTGATGACCCGTGCTTTTGAAAATCTTTCTGTGATGACGTACTGAATGCTTGCGGACCCATATCTGAGGGCTCCAGCTCTAAGGAGAGTGCGTCAAGAAACCATCTCGTGGTTCACTTTAGGAGCTCTAGGTCCCCACCCACGAAAGGGTTCCAACACTTTTGAGCTAACACTGCTTGATGTTCCAAACCAAAAAAAACTGGAAATCGAAAAGGTTAAGAGACGGATTATCGTGGGAACCCACCTCTGGAGGCCCAGGTCCTAGAAGATGGTCCCGAAGATGATGCTCACCATGTTGGAATTTCGAGGAAAGTTAGAAAACGGGTTATCTTGAAAACCCACCTCTGGAGGCCGAGGTTCCAGAAGATGGTCCCGAAGATGACGCTCACCATGTTGGAATCTCGAGGAAAGTTAGAAAACGGGTTATCTTGAAAACCCACCTCTGGAGGCCCAGGTCCCAGAAGATGGTCCCGAAGATGATGCCGACCATGATGCAGAAGAAGAAGCGCACCGCGTTGTACTCGGGCGTGCGCCAGTACGTGATGTTGAATTTCCACAGCACCGCCAGGAACTGCGTCGGCATCGACTGCGAGTACTGCGCCGCAAACGCGAGCGGCTGAGTGCCCGGGGCGGGCACGCTCAACTCCTTGATCAGCGCTTCCTGCGATTTAAACCGGTCGCTCTCCGCGTATAAGTCGGCGAAGTCTTTGCCGAGGCCCTCCTCGACGAACGGCGTCGTGTTCTCGAGCATCCACGTGGCGGGATTGTACTGGGGCTTGATGTCGCGCACGCCGTTATACTGCTTGAAGTACGCGATAAGCTCTCGGGAGTGCTCCCCGAGGGGGCCCGCGTATATGGTCCGCCCGCCGCGTTTGAGGAGCAGCAGCTCGTCGAACGACTCGAAAATGTCAATGCTCGGCTGGTGGATGGTGCACACGACCGTGCGCCCCGTGTTCACCGTGTTGCGCACCGCGCGCATCACGATCGCCGCCGCGCGCGCGTCCAGGCCTGGGAAAAGAGGGGGGAACACCGTCAGAGCGGGCTTTTGCAGAGCACCAGCTAAAAAAGGCAGAATCGCAAGGATAGGGCTTCTCAGAAGTCGAACTGCCAGCGGGGATGAAAGGGGGGCGCGGCGATGAGAAGGTCCTTGAAAGGCGTTGTGATCGCTTTGCAGCTCAACAAGTGTAAGACAGGTCGTCCGCTTGAAAGCTCGGGCCGCTTGAACACACTTCGCCTGCGAAACTGGATGCACTTTTCAACACGGACGACTTGTCGGAAAGCTGCTCTGGCATGCTCATCTCCAACAGGGTGCCGGAACAAGCAAGAAGGATTCTACGTTGGAAACACTGGTGCCTGCCAACATCGGTTCGCCTGATGCCACATCCAATTAGCCGGCAGACTCTGGTCAGGACGGTTGAGAACCCCAAACCCTGTGGTTTCAAAACTTCTGGATTGAAAAGGGACTCGGCAGTGCTTGATGGGCTCATCCCGAAAATGATGGTGGGGCCACAGGCGCCGAAACGCCACTCTACTTCCACGAGCCTGGAGAGCAACAAACGGCGGCAGAATCAAAAGCGCCAACCGGCAAAAAAGAAAGTCTTGACCCAAAAACGGCGGCACCTGATGTGGGCTCGTCCATAAAGATGATGCTCGGGTTGGCCACCAGCTCCACTGCGATCGTCAGCCGCTTGCGCTGCTCCACGGACAGCCCCGTGGACCCGGGGAGCCCCACCAGGGCGTTACGGATCCCGGTTAGCTCAACCAGGTCCATAACCTGGTTCACAAACTCCTCGCGAGTGGCCGGGTCAACGTCCTGGGGAAGGCGCAGCCAGGCGGAGTATTGGAGCGCCTCGCGAACCGTGGTTTGGGGGGAGTGGATATCGGTTTGTTCCACGTAACCGGACACGCGAGCGAAGGTCTTCTGGTCTTTGGGGAAGCCCCCAACGCGGATGTCACCGTCGATGTACCCCCCTGGAGGGAAAGCGCGGTGAACGTCTTTCTCACATTGTGGGCGGAGTCAAAAAGATAGAAAACATCGACATTGAAGTCTGACGCCGCAATGGAAGGGTCTGTGCGCTGGCGGTCTTGTCCGTCCATCCGGGTTGGCGGAACAGAGACAAGACGGCAGTGTGACTCAAACAGACTGCACTGATCGCCTTCCTCAACCGAGGAGGTCCCCAGCAGATCTCTCTTTTCGAAAAAAGCTCAAAGTCCTGACCAGTGTTCAGGTGAAAGTCTCCACAAGCCGGCACACGCGCGACTGCCACCGCGAATACCGCTTTCGAGACCGCCCACTTCGCTTTCCGGTCTTTCCTTCTCGCGAGACTTTCGCTACCTTCAGAAGGCATCCGGACGTCCGGCGCTCACCGGTCTTCCTGCCGGCCAGGACGTCCATGAGCGTGGTCTTGCCGGCGCCGGACACGCCCATGAGCGCGGTGAGAACCCCCGGGCGGAAGCTGCCGCTGATGCCCTTGAGCAGCTTCAGCTTCGTCTCGCCGCCCGCGTCGATGCCCTGAGAAAGGATAGCAAAGCGGGAAGCGGACGTCAGGAGTTGGAATTGGAATGGAGTTTCTGGACCCACCTTGAGGCGAGAAGAAATGTGAGGTTTGGATGTCATCAAAGCCGTGGCTTGCAAAACCGGCTTCAACAAAAGTTGGGAAGTGTCTGAGAGCCAGCCGAAGGTTCGCAAGGAAACTGCCACGACACCAATGGAAGTTCTGGTCGTGACCTAAAAAACTCTCAGAAGCCAGCCCCAAGTTGAGTCGACCAGTAGAGAACGACTCTTGACATGCTCTTAGAACGGGTCGACTTCTTCACTGCAGTCAGTTCCTGAGCGACCATCAAGACCAAAAGAAGTTGGTTGCAGAAGGCCAGAAGGGTGCGAACATCAGGAGCCCTCAGCCGCTGCCACGTGGCGCACCTTGGGCATGTCCACGGAGTACCACATGTTGTCGAACGTGAGCGCGAGCGGCTGGAAGGGCAGGATCATGCCCTTCTCGGCAATGGGCTCGATGTAGGAAGCTCGCTGCTGCAGACTCGGGCGCTTGCGCAAGCTCAGGCTGTCTGCGAAACGGACAACGAGCAGTCAACCTGAGGACCCCGACGAACCTGATACGACATACTCTTTGAGAAGGACTGTTCAGGGCTGACTTACCGCCGAGCCGTACAAGTGTCTGAGCATCATGACCAGCCGTCCGGAACGGCACGATTTCCGCTCTCAAAGGAGACAAGCGTTCCCCTCTCAAAGGAGACAAGCGTTCCCCTCAAACCTCTTGCCTGCGCCGATCTTGGAGGCGGTGAAATGGAGATGAAGGTCTGGAACGCAAGGCGACGTCTTACGGTAGATAGTTGGCAAGTCGTGCATCCACTTTCATAAAGTCACTGAATCCCTCCTTCCTGCAGAACCCAACTTGCCATTGGGAAGTTTTGGTCACTCACTTCGCATGGATGGGCTCTTCTTGGCTGGCGGCATGACGTCAGCCGCGGCCGCCGCCTGCGCCCTCTCGCCCTCCACGGACCCCATCTCAATGTCGCCTGCAGTCAAAGTTCAAAACGTTTAGTCAGATGCATCGCCGGTAAAGCAGCAAAGCTCTCCTGTGGAGCTGTCAGAGGGGCTTCGCCGTTGCTTCTTCGAACGTCAGTTGCTTAGACGACGGTAACCCAGTCCCTTGACCGTCAGCACCATTTGGTAACCGACGAACGGACCGCCTCTACTTTGAAAAGAAGACACCTACCTTGGCCACGTTGACGTGGACCTGCTGACTGATTCCCAGATTTCGGAGGAGAACGGACACGCTAACAACCAAGAGGAATGTACCGACGGCTGTGAATCCAGCTTCTGGAGCAGGGCGGCCATCATTTTGTCCCCGCGTTCACATTTCGCGAGACCAACTCATTAGTAACGCCGTAGGCGTGCTGGCTCTCAGAAGGCAATGCATGAACTTCAACGTCGGTCTGTATCTAAGTGAAGGAATCAGACTCTCTAAATGAGGATTGAAGGCCATTCTCGAAGACGGCCTACCTTCGGGGATAGTTTTCTGCTGCGGTTTGGCCGTCCCGTTGCCGGGGGGCGCATCCGCAGGAGGGAGGACCCCCCCCGTGACGGCTGCTTCCTTGGCTTTCAGCTCCTCTTCAGGCATGTTGGCGCTTACTTTATCCAAGGCTGCAAACAACAGAGAAGACCTCGGCTTCTGATTTTGCAGCGATCAGCAAAGGCGCTTCGGTCACAGGCAGAAGAGTCAAGCACAGAGTGCGCAGGAAATCGGCGACTCGGCATGAGAGGAACAACTTTGAACACATGTGCAGCAAAAGGGGGGTCCCGATTGGCGCCTCACATGAAGAGTAATCGAGGGCCAGGTTGCAGATGAGGTTGCTGCAGAAGGAAGAGAGGATGGTGATCAGCAGAGTACTGGCATATGCAAGACTGACAAGTCGTCGAAGCTTCGAGATGGGTTAGGCAACAACAGATGCCCCTTCCGATTGGTTATCAAGATTCCTCGCCAGGAACAGTAGAACGTAATTGCATGGTGAAGACACCCCCAAGCCGTCAGCATTTCATAGTACTGCCCGGCAAAAGTTACACCCTTAGGCTCCCCCCCTTCTGCAGAGGACGAAGTATGAAGTACGAAGTACCCTGGCGTTGAGGATGCAAAAACAGAGAGCGCAAGTAAAACGCGCAATCTTCAAGAACGGCACTCAAGGGCCCCAAACGGGTGGAGGTTCTGATCAACGTACCACTGACTTGTTCTTAATCCCGGACCATCCAGCTTAGAATAGATACTCGACGGCGGGCATCCGTAAAACCAACGCGCGCAATAGACAAGCGAGATGAGTCCCCAAGCAACTCAAAGCGCACCCATCCGAAAAAGCCAGAAGGATCCATCATTCAACGAACTAAAAAAACGGCTGTTCACACTTACAAGATGACGTAGTAGCCGATCATGGTGCCGACGCCGATCCAGACCCACCACCGCGGCGTGTGCAGGCCCCGGCTGAGCAGCAATTGGTCGCCGACGGTCAGATTGGTTTGCTCGTGGCCAAATAGCACGATGGGCGACACGGGGTAGGGGTCGTTCCACCGGGGGGCCGTGTACTCATTGGCGGCCAGTGCATTTTGGGCGTACGAGAGGGGGGACTGAATGGCGGGGAAACGAAGGGGGGGTAAGGAAGAGACCAGCGCAAGTTAGGAAGTGGGAATCAGCGGACCATTTTGTCAGGACGCAATTTGTATGTCAGAGAGGGCGGGCCGTGTCAGAGGAAAGAGAGTAAGACGGCTGACGTATACTGGCCAAGGGGAGGAGTCGACTGCGCAACGCTTGTAAAGGATTTAAAAGGCCTGAAATGTCAACTTTGCAACGGAAGCAAACAGAATATTGCGGTTGGGGGAAGAGAGGAGATCACTCACCACCCAGTAGCCCCACACCTGCAGCAGCGAGAAGAGAAACGGGCTCAGCATGGGCACGTGCAACAGGCTAACGGAGCTTTTCACATCCCGGCTTCAACTCGCTTCAAACGAAGATGTTCAAACACAAGCGGGTGGCGCTCTCGAAGCCTTTGCCTTTCGCACCGAGAGCTCCTGTCGCCGGTCAGAATCGTTGAGCTGACAAGCCGCATACGTTGGTTATTCTTGACGAAGTCCTTAACAGAGAGCTGCCGGGCTGAGATAGAAGTGTACACTTACCCACCAAGGATGAATCTTGGCTGCAAGGAAAGGGGAACTTGCGTCAAGAGTCTGTCTTTGAAGACGACCAATGCGAACAGACTCTTTTAAGACGCCAATACGTTGATGCATCCTCCGACAGCACTCCCGGATTTGGGGTAAAAGCGCAACAAGGACCACACAGGGACAAGGAGAATCAAAAAAACGTTTGCAGCGAAGTGGATCCCACAAAGACTCATCTCCGCCCCTCCCATCAGATTCGAGCAGATCCAAAAGCAAAGTACTCGAGAGCCTGTTCTTCGAGTAGTCATGACATTGTATTTGAAGTATAGAGTGACTTGAAGTGATGCAAGTGTCAAGATGTTCTTGCTATGCGATTATCATTTCAAAGCCGGACCCTGACAATCAACCCAAGGGAGCGGAAATTATGAGATGCGCTGCGGGGGGGGCTCACGCTTGGCTAGAATGAAGCCCCCCAGCAGGAAGATGACCATCAGCGCGAAGGAGCCGAACGTATTGGCCATGACCATGCTGCGCCCGAGTGCGCCGATGAGGCGGAACAGCGACATGGCCATACTGTGCACCAAAAACAGCAGCAGCCAAAAGCTGAAGAACCTGCGGGATCGAAAAAAGAAAGTGTGTGCAACTGTTATAGATCTTAATGTGTGGGTTTAGGGGGCTCTTTGATGCTGTATGGCCGGGAGTTGCTTACGGTGTTCATGTAAGGGCGGGCAGCGAGGCTGAAACTAGGTATGGAACGGAGAAAGAGGCTGACTGCTCCATGGTTCCCTGTATATGCTGTGGAAGCGGGTGGGAAACTTTGCTTGAGTTCAGCGGGCAGATAGGGTTGTACGGGCAGGACAGGGCGGCCCGTCGAGAGGGTCTCGACGTCTGCTACTTCAAGGAAGGGTATCCAAACTCGCTCTGCTGTTTGGACACAGAAATGTTCCTCACATATGTTCACAGCCAGAAAAGTGATTCAATATCAACGCTACGTGCACTTATTCTTCGAGACGCATTAAGATGCGATACTGCGCTGCTAAGTTCACTTTGGGAACATTTTGCATTATCCTGAGCTCAAAATGAACCTTCTTTCGGGGAGGATTAATCTCACTCGCTCTTCGGACCAAAAGTATTGTTGTTGAGATAGACGTCTGCAATCAGAAATCAACTGGATTTTTGGAGGAAAGGACGGCAGCTTCTGCTACAGCGCAGACGAACTAGAGCGGGGGACGAGGCGCACCTGTCGGCCTGCGGGGCCAGCCCCACGACGTAATACGATATGATTGTCCAGATGAAGGACTCGAGCAGGGAGAAGGGGATGCGCAGCAGGCACGTGGGCATGTTGAGCGCGAAGCCGGTGAGGAACAGGTTGTCGCGCTGCTTGTAGAAGACGGGGAGGCGACCCACCTGAAGCGGTGGAGAGTTTTGGGGTTCGCGCTTTTGAGTTCAGCCGTTTACGTCAACCTTGCAACCAGCGCGCAAACTTCAACCGTCCGATCGGTTCCAGAGGGGATCGCACGGTCCAAGATCGTGTGAACGACCATCCTGCGAGCCTCGACGGTGCAGCGTTCATGCAAACAGCTGTTGGGTTTGCTGGGTTCAGAGAGTTGCAAGAATTGAGAGCCAGAATGCGAACGGGTCAGTAGACAGGGGCTGAAAGGAGCGAAGGGTTATGGTGGCCACAATTTATGTGAGGCTTGGAGTGTTGAGTTGGGTCAGATTGAAAGAGCATACACGCAAATGACCGGGCAGATACTAGACATAGAAAAGATTCTTGTGGATCCGGACGAGGGCTGACCAGCTACAGCAGCAAAAGTGCAAGAAAAAGAAGGACGCGTACTCTGATACTGTACAAAGGATTGAAAGGAAAGAGAAACCACGGATGAGCGGGGTTTCCCGTGACGCAAGGGGAGGGGAAGAGACTCCCATATCGGGAGTATGACAAGAGCAAAAGCGTATCTTGGAATGAGAGGGAACGCTGAGGAAGCCAATACGAGTTGAGACGGTGAAAGTGCGCACCGTGATGGCCATCTCGGAGAAGCCGGAGAAGAGCATGTACGTGAGGCCGAAGAAGATGAAGGCCAGGTACATGCCCGCGTGGTCCACGTCGACGCCGAGCGTGGTGCGGAAAAACACCGTCGCGGAGACGAACGCCATGATGGCCGTCTGTGGGCAGAAAGAGGGGTAAGAAATGGCAGGTGAAAAGGGGGGGGGGGAGGGAATAGGACAGGGGATGGCCGTCTGCGAGCAGAGAAGGGGGTTGAATTGGCAGGTTAGAAGAGGCGGGGAAGAGAGTGGGGAATGGGAAAGAGGGGAGGGAAGGATGAAGAGAGGTAGACTTTTGAACAGGCGGTAGATAAAGCAGCCGTGTCGGCAGCGTTGGGAAACTTAGCAGCTGCAATGATTGTGGCTTCAAGGGTCAAAGAGAGGTCCGGGGTCACCTCAGACTATGAAACTCAAGAAAAATAATAGTTTGCCCAGATAATAGTAAGGTAACCGCACTGTGACGGGTAGGGTTAGTATGGTGGTTAGGGTGGGTACGGGTGCGGAGCGGGTGTTTCATTTAAGGTTAGGGTTTTTAGTGTTAGTCGGAGCTTATTATTATCTTGGCTTACTATTATCTTTCTTGAGAGTTATCCTCAGACTGCTTGTAGAGTGTGCGTCTGAATTGTGCTGAAGCTATCTGCTCCTGAGTTGCATAGGGTGGCAGACTGGCTGAGATGCCGAGGTATCAGCGGATACTGATTACTTCTCAAAGGATCCTTGCGTATCGGTTATTTAAGGACAATACCATAACCGCGGGTGATTACCATGGACTCGAGAAGATCTCGCTCAGTCCTCGTTACACATCCGCAACAACAAAGCTGCGAAGTGTGTTGATTGCTCTATGCACACGGCCAGGCAACTGATCCAAAACAAAGCCAATCTCTTACCTGCGTAGCCCGGAACTGGTAAAGGAACATGTTCCGCTGCATCAGCAACAGCTCACGGCGGAACGACCCCCGCAGCATGGCCCACGTGGAGAGCGCATACTTTTCTTTAACCAGGGCCATCGGATGGTCCTTGGCGGCATCGAACGGCACAGACAGCTCTTGGGCGATCGCCTCGCCGTGCTTGGACTGCTTGAACGCTTCGGCGAAGACGGAAACCGGGACGTAACGGTAGGGGCCGTCGCGCGACCAGTATTGCTGGGCAGGAAGGACGGAAGCAGTTGTGTTAGCAGTAGACGGAGAATCCTCCAAAGATGCCAGCCTGTCAGGATTGAGCAATTTCAAGCATTGAGTGAAGCATCGAGTGAAGCACGTGGCGACGAAAGTTCAAATCGACGAAACGATGTGTCTCGTCCAGAGTCCGTCGGTCTCAAAGTGGCATGCAGGCTTGAGTCAACTAGTCAATCCCAGAGGAGGACCTACGTGCAGCCAAAGTCTCTCTAGATTGCATATAAAGGAAGTTGAGCACACTTCCTCCAGGTCCTTTGAACGATCAACAGCAGTCGGCCCACAATTCCTTACCATGCTCGACCCCAGAGGCAGGACGCCAACCGCAGTCCTCTCAGCATAGGAAAGCAAACCCAGACCAAAACCCACATTTCACATTCTTGGCATCAGCACGGCCAGCCCACCTGCTGATCCTTCTGTGACGTCACCTCCTGCAGGAAGTCGGCGGCGCCCTTGCGCTCGGGGCACTTGAAGCCCTGCGCCTCAAAGAAGGCCAGCACCTCGCCCACCGGGCCGTGGTACACCTGGAGAAAATGGAAAAATGTGAGCGACCTGCGACCCTGTCCGCGTAGAAAAAGATGATGGTTTTCTGATCTTTCAGACTCGGAATACGCTGACTCCATCCTTTCAGACGGGGCGGATCGGGAGGTTTCACAGGCCTGGTAAACAGCCCCGGACAGCCCCAGATTTTCTGGACCTTGATAGTCACCGAAAGCAGCTGTAAACCGCACGGAATCCAGTACTACCTCAACCGACCCGAACATCCTTTCCGGTTCCTTTGGCCACGCGAGCAAAAGCAGCCCCTATCCAGTATTTGAGGTTGTTTCGAGCTGGCAGCACGTACCACGCAGCCCTCGCTGAGCAGCAGGATGTCGTCGAACAGCTCGAACGTCTCGGGCGCGGGCTGGAGCAGGGCCATCAGGCACGTGCCCTGCATGCGAATGCCACGTGGATGATCGTCAGTGGTCTGAGAAAACCCGGACGGTGCGCGCGATTGAAGTCGGGTATGAACGGGGGAAAGAAGGACGGAGAAAGCGGAATAGGTATGAAGTCCCGGCCTTTTCGAGATTGCGCACGCTGGGAAAGGTGAGTTTAGCAGCCTCGCTTCTGCTGAGAAACGTACCTTAGCGTAGTGCGCCCAGTTGCGCATGCACTTGACGATCTGGAACGTGGTCGAGCTGTCGAGCCCGGTGGAGATCTCGTCCATGAACCTGAGGAGCAACACACTGTTAGAAATGTTTACCAGCAACACTCGGCATATACTGGAGCAAGCCCCCTCGTGCAAAGACGCGATTTGAGGGCCAATCAATGCGACCTTGTTTCTCTCCTTTAAAGGCAGCAACGACGGGGCTCACTGTCAAGCGGATCCTGAACATCAGCGGTAGCGACCTTGAACTAGAGACTTACAATCTTACAAACCCCAACAATTCAACCCCCGTTTCTAATTGAGACTTACAGCGCTTGCTTGGGCCCAACGATCATCTCCCCCGTCGTGACGCGCTTCTTCTGGCCCCCGGAGATGCCCCGTGCCATCTGCACAGCTTTCACACCCATAAGCGCTCGCCCCCGCGCTCAGAGTGCTGATCACGTGACCTCACAAGATCACTCTCAGGCAAAGACAATGCTTCCAGATGCAAGAACGCCATCTTCGTTCGCGCATAAGCCCAAAGCCGGTCCTGCTTTGAGAGACAGCTACAAGAGGCGTAAAGGCTGACCTCTCCTCCCACGATTGTGTCTGCGCACACGTCCAGGCCGAGGGTCCGCAAGATGTACTCTGTGGAAACACTTTGCTGCTTGTTTTCCAAAGAGGCAGCCTGCATGCCGAACCCGATGTTGAGCCACAAATTGCACGTCACCATCGGCTTTCTTCATCTAGTTGTTCAGACCTTCTGGGTCTCGAGTCTTGAGGCTCCTCTGGTCTGAGAGTACATTTGAGTAAGCAAATCTCACCTTATTCGAAGTGGGCGACTCTACATGGCAGAATATGAGCTGATTACTGTAGTACAAGTTGTCTGTCACTGCTTGTTACTAAGCCTGCCTGTAAGACTCTATTGCAAGGAGGGCATAAAAAACAAGACGCCGTCTTGTGAGGAGAACCTGGCAGAATATGAGCAGATTACTGTAGTACAAGTTGTCTGTTACTGCTTGTTACTAAGCCTACCTGTAAGATTCTATTGCAAGGAGGGCGTCAAAAACAAGACGCCATCTTGTGGGGAGAACCTGGCAGAAGGCAATTCCAAGCTCACTTTGATGAAGGCGTCGATGTCAGGATCGGGCATGATCTTCTTCTCCAACTCTCTCTTGGTCAGCTCCTTGAGCAGCCCTGCAGATCCAAGGTAGTAATAAGTAAGCGCGTCGCAACTGATTACTAGGTCCCCACATTACCTACATGAGTACACGGCAGTTTCAGTATTCAGCAGCTCAGAAACCCAAAGCCAAAATCCAGCCTCTTTTCCTGGAAAGATCCCCCTACATGGCTTGCTGCCCCTGACCTTCAACATGATTATCCTGCCACTCTTTCAAAAGTGCTCACAAGTAAGCGGCGAGCTGTGTTGTATGAAGCAGGAGTAAGAGGGAGCCCTACGTATCCTGAAGCCCAAAACCCTAAAAGCATAAACATCATGGAAAGCAAGGGTGGTGCCCCATGCTTTTGCTTATTTGGACCAAGCAAAACATACTGCAGAGCTGGAAGCGCAGTTTATTGACCCCCCCCTCACCTGATCTGTAACCCGGCCCCTGCATTCTCGCCGCAAAATCAAACGTCTCGCGCACCGTCATCTCGGGGGTGTGCGTGTCCACCTGGCTGATGTAAGCGGCCGTGCGCTGGGGCACAAACTCGTGCAGCTCTCGCCCGTTGTACGAGATCTTCCCCCTCATGCGCAAGTCGCGCGACAGCTTCCCCGCCAGGGCGAGCATCAGAGTGGTCTTGCCGCTGCCGGGGGGGCCCAGAAGCAGGGTCATGCGCTCCTGGGGGGGAAAAGAACGAGGATGAGGGATGGAAGGACAGCAGAATCGGAGGGAGTTTCGGTTGAGAGAAGTTGGTTACCAAGACCATACTGTTGGGCTGTGTCAGAGAGAAAAGGTTACGTGATCTTAGTAGGAAAAAACCATAGAGACGCATTGGGCTGGCTTTTACAATCTCATGTCAGAGTTTTTAAAAATATGACTTGCGAACCCTTTTGATGGGACATTAAGCAATGTGCCTCTTAAAGTTTTAGCAATTGTTTCCATAAGGCTTGAGCATTGCTTACATGACATGACATCTTTTACAAGCCCGCAGAACTGACGAACTGCACTCATCAGCAGGCACATCGAAGCGGGGGAACTCACAGGCTTGAGAACGCCGGACACATTCTTCAGCACAGCGAAGTCCCGTTTCTTGTTCTTGAGGACCCCAGTTTGCACCGCCACATCCTGCATTGAAGGATGCAGAAAACAACTTCATTAGTAGAAGTAGTATCCAAGAGGCCGGTGCTCTTATCATCTTGAGGAATGAAAGATCAGATCATGTCTGCCAAATGCTTGAAAAGAGGAGTCGTGTCATCCAGACTATATATTGCCCAACTCAAGATGTGGGTACATACGACATGAAAGATGATCGGAAAACACATAGATACATCAATGAATAAAATCAAACCCAACCAAGTGCCCACATATGATGAGTTAAATAACATGCTCAAAAATGTTGACATACCTCGACCAGGTTCAGAGATGCATTGGTGAGGGTAGGCAGGGCTCGCGACCCAACATAGACATCAGCATCGATGCAGAGGTCTTCGTACCGGACTTCAATGGTCGGGGGCGCAATACCCACCCTACACAAGGGAGAGAACCGCAGAGATTGTGGGGCAGGTATCAAGCTTGCAAACCAAAGTTGTATCCAACAAGGAAGCGAGAGGATTAGGAATCAAGAAGCAAGGTGCCAAACTTTTTTGGCCCCAATGCTTCTTTCTGGAAAAAGGGCATGGAACATTGAGGGACAAACCCTGCATTGACGAGGAGCACTACAGTACAAATGGCCAGCACACCATCATGTAAAAGCTACATTGAGTCATTTTAAGCCCGCTCAGCATCACAATGCACCGTCAGCATCAGGCATACTCTCTCCAGACCACATTTTCTTCCAGATGATCACAAGCAGCTCACAGCCAAATAGAAAGGCCCTATGCCCACCTTGCGGCCCTCTCCCGCAGCTTCCTCAAGAACAATTCATTGTCCTGGTCGGTCGTCTGCAGGGCCTTCTCCACGACCACTTTCTGCTCCTCAGGCTTCAGATGTGAGATGTCAATTGTCCCGAGCTTGCTCCCCTGCCTCACATACGCCTCCAGCCGCTCGTCAATCGGCACAGTCGCATGGCGTGTGCGCACCAAAGTGTTTTGTATCTGCAGGGCTGCCAATTCCAAGTCTGCGGTGTCTTCCGCATTGTTGGAAAGCCCGGAAGGCTGCATAGAGAAGGTGAACCCAGGGCCACGCCCCCGCTCAAAGACGGCTGCGCCGCCTCCAGGGGCCGCGAAAGCCATGATTGGGACGGTGAGTTTGACCCAGTAGCTGTTGAACGGGGGGAATCAAGGAATGCAATTACAAGCTGGGACTCAGTACTGGAGCTTTACTGCTAGCAGCTATGCTGGGCCAATGTGTGACGCTTACATTCAAGCAGCTAGGGCAATTGAGTGTCTCATTCTTCAGCAAATTTTGTGCTTCTCACGGCCAATGTAAAAGGGGCTTATAAGCTAGGGGGAGACCACTGCAGTTGTTGTACAACACTGGAAGCTGCCAAGTGACACAAGGGACGCTGCAGCGAGCTGGTTACCACAGCAGGATCCTGCACATCAGTGGCAGACAATATACCTAGTAACGGAAGACGCATTGGCATGCCGCCGTCCTAAGATTTAGGACTCGGGAGCCATTCAGAGATGCCATGGCGTTGTCGCACTGTGAATGCAGCACTGTGTTCTCAGAAGCCATTGGGGGGCCGACATTTGACCACTTCTCAACTGCCAGCATGCCAGTGCATGTTTGGAGTCTCCCATGATGGAAATTTCCCTTGTCCCATGCCGCATCATCACAGGCGGTCGAGTCTCGGGTGCAACTTGGGAAGGCGGCTGCGATGCACCGAGTCCAGCGGCCCGACTCGGAAATTCGAGAAGCTCGGTGTGGTCACAAGTTACAGTACCGTCGCTCGGGTGGATGGACGGAAGTCGGGAACTCGTCGGAATGCTTCTACCGGGGTCGATGGTGACGTCCAGCTGAGCGCTTCATTACTCCATGACGTGAGCCGAACTGTCAGATAGCGATGTACGGAGACTAGATACGTCGCACAATCAGGATTGGATACGCGGCGACCGTACGATCACGCGAATCGATGGTCAGCAGCCGGATCCGGCTCAGAGCCGTACGGTTGATACTTGAGCGGCCATATGCTATCGTGACTCGGGAGTCGGGAGTCGGGAAGCCTCCGAGTGGGAGTCGACCGGCCGGAGTCCGACTCCGGAGTCCGGACTGGCGGCATGCCGAGCTGTAGCCTGTGAGGGATCTCCTTTTGTTGCGCACTGCCAGCTGGCACGATCGCTGGCTGAGCGGCTGGACGAAATGGAAGTGCACGGTTGGAACTTGCCCGACTGGAGTCCCCGGTCGTGTCGAGCCAACGGAACATGTGCAGCGCGGTATGATTTGACAGCTCGACAAATCGGACGATTCTCCTGCGCATCACGTGGGAACAGCGTGGCATCCGTGCAGGCAGCTAGAGGAACTGATCAAGGAGGATCAATCATCATGCACATGTGCGGCGTGCGCAGGCTGAACCCTAGGTACCGTAGTGAGTAGGTCGGTATATTTATAGGTAGGTAGACTCTGATATATAGGCCTAGACGCAGGGAGCCAGCGGGACCTGCATTCTGCTTCCTGAGGCTGCAGGACGTATTTTCGATGCAATGCAGCAGCCATGAATGCGTTGCAATTTCGCTTTGCAGAAAGCGATTGGGTAACCGTACTGGGCCCTCACTGTCAGTCACTTGGGCGAAAGCGATGAGTTGGAGCTGGAGCTTATACCAAGAAGCCGAAAGAGGTTGCCATCCAACAAGAAAGAAAACCATAAACGCAACACCAGACCCAAGTGGCCGCTTCTTCTGAGCTGCAACAGAGACAGACTTTCACTCTCTCCGACTTCCGGTGATTCATTCTCATTGGCTCATTGAAGCGGGCGGTCGGCCGGAAGCAGTCGTGGCACAATGGCCTCAACGTATCCGCCGCCGCCGCCCTACTTTAAATTGTTCAGCGACGGGTATAAAGGCGAGCAGATTCTGCCACCACCCCCGCTGGACGGAACTTTCACAATGTTTGGCCAGACATACTCGGTGAGCAGCACGTCGTGCTTTTGTTCCTGTTGAGAGCAAAGCGTCGCTAAATGCTGACTCTTTCTGCGCAGGCAAATCAGGGACCAATACTTGCAATGCGCAATGGTGCACTCCATCCAAACAAAGAAACATGTGGAACCTGCTAGCGTGCAGGACTCTTGTTCGCACCGATGCTCCAAGGTCTTTGAAACATGATCATGACAATCCTAGTGTAAATGAACAACGGTCCATTTGCAGACTGAGGATCAGCTTCCAAATCTGGAACAGCAGGGGATTCGGCAACTCTACCCAAAACATAGCGACATTGGTAAGCTTTCGGCGTTCAGCTTTCTGGCCATTCCAATAAAGTTGTACACAAAAAGTTCACCCAATGTGCGAGAAAGAGAAGTCACTAAGTCATGCCCCGAGTATGGAGCACTTGATGACAAAACATCGTACCACTCACCGGCTCATCATATTCGTGAATGAACGCCGTTGATTCCGTCGCTTGTGTGCCACATGCCTGTGTTACTACTTTCTTTGCACATTGTGCCACCGAAATCGATCCTCTCGAGGCCAGCTCAAACTTTGGCGCATCGAATGCAAGATTGTGTTACAAATTTTGGCGCATCCAATGCAAGATTGCGTTACTCCTTTGCCATGCCTGCTCAATCCCTGCGCGTGAACAACCAAAACCAATCTTTTCAGAAATACGATTGGACCAATTCTGCTAGTGCTCATTTTTGTGGCCCCAAGATGATGCAAACCAGCCAGCCTCCCAGTGGCAGAAACATCTTGCCAGCCAGACATCCAAACACCATGGTTTGCAGACATCCCCGCGGAGCTGCGCAAGCTGAACCGCGAGCTGGTCTTCACGTACCTTGAGCTGGTGGACGTGCTGGCGGAGCGGCCGTCGCAGTACGCGCGCAGGGTGGAGGACATTGGGCTCATCCTCAAGAACATGCACCACCTGCTCAACCTGCTGCGCCCGCACCAGGTCAGCAGAGTGTGCGGAATTGACTTCTTTTTCTTTTTTGTGGATTTTAGTTGTTTGGGTAAAGCTGGCTGCGGCCAAATTTGCAGGGTCTGATGTGAACTTTTGTGCGGCCTGGGTAGCCGCTGGGGAAGTTGAGCTAGGAAGGGACGTAGGGCGTATCGTGCATACCACATTTGCATCTGATGCTCGTGGCATGGTTATCTTCCGACGTCTCAGGTGGTCTGCTGAGTCGACAGTCGCAGGAGTCATGCTTGGCTACAACCGGACAGCCGGAGAGCATTCCAGGTCCCTTCCTGTGCATGCGACACGCTGTTTGGGACAGGGTCTTGGATGCATGGGGTGGACCAGTCGTCTTTTGTTCGAGAGACTGGTGCCAGTCGTCTGATGCACGTGTGTCTGCTTCTGTAGGCGCAAGCAACAGTTCTGCACGCGTTAGAGGAACAAGTCAGGCGGCGGAAAGAAGCGCTTGCCACTATCAGAAAGTAAGTAACGGGCCGACTGAAGGATGATTAGGAATATAACAGACAACCACAGGCTACATAAGTCAAATGATTGTTTGGAAGTCAATGCTGTCATCATGTCGCTCAGCATCATCAGAAGTGGCCAGTAGATATGGAGGACGGTATGCTAATGTCATAGAAACGATTTGCACCTTTGTCATCGTATCTCCTCTTGATTGGTTGACTCTTGTTGCCTGCAGACAGAGACAGGAGATGGCCGCAGCTCTTGCGGAGGGGGCATCGCTTCTGGCAGAAGCAAACCAGGAGCTTTTGCAGAAGATAGGTGCAAGCAACCAACCGGAAGGACTGCGGTAAAATACAAGAACTTCCAGTCTTCAAGTTAGGCGTCTGCTAACGCGGGTGACTGGAGGGTTAGTAGACACCTTTCAGCGGATAAGTGCTTCTTTTCCACATACGACACTCGGGCCAAGCAATAAGCGCTACCGTACCCCACGCTGTTATATATGAGAGAGATGCAGGAAGGAAGCAGTGAGCTCTATATCGAGGGGCTGGAGCTCTTGTGGGGCCGGGCTCCTGAAGAAGTACGGCACGGTGGAAAGTGACGTTGCTGTAATTGAGGTGAGGAGACTCGACTTGCTCGCTCCGAGATTGAGAGAGTGAAACTACTTGTGGTGCACGTTACCTGGAGCAGTCCCCCTTCGTTCGAACGAAGGCAGGATCTGCATCAGGGCTTGCCGTTGGAGTTCCAAAGGGCGGTTCAGTAGAATGTTCCGAGAGCTTTCATGCGGTCCGGGGACTGACGCCGCACGCTTGCCTGCCAGGCACTTAGCCTTCTTCGCCTCAACAAGGCCTCTTACTGCAGCTTCTCAATGATGCAGTTTTAAATAATCACTCCTCTCTATCGATAGCGTGATTGTGGTGAGTTGCCAGGACTGTAACCAGCACTTTCTCTGCAGGAACTGCGTTTAGGTCCACTACGACCCTTACCCACAGTGCCACCCCAGTGTGCGACACCGAGGCTCCTAATATGGATAGATGTCACCTGCGTCACGCAAGGGCTTGCCTTGCTACGCTTGGTGTTTCATCACTAGGTCAGGCGCCCGATCATGGGAGCCTCCTCGATTGCAGGTCACACATATGCTGTTTGCAATATGCGTGGCCGTGCCGCTGCCTGTTCAATCTTCTTAAAGTTCCACAAACGGTACATTGGAATTGAGACTAGGTATCAGTTGCCAGAGCTCATCGTGTTATAGAACATGGCGGGGGGCTGCAATTGCGTCAGAGTCGGATGCAGAGTCTGATCCCCTTTCTAACCATACGCACGCAAGCAGACTGCAGGCATGCGAGTCTCTCTAAGTTAGGGCCAAACAATCTGCTATCACTCATACCCCCACCGATTCAAAGTGATGTTGGAATGCGCTGCATCACTTATCCATCAAATACGAACTCCTTGTGTAGTGAACAGCTAATTCAAGGTTGACGTGTGGCATGCATGAGTCCAGATGATTGATGCGTTGGTGCCGCCGTGCCAGGCAAGCTGCATGGCCTTGGGCCGCCAGTTACACACGATCCTAGTCCTTGCAATTGCTTGCAAGCTTCGAGGCGATCGGACTTGACTGGAGCTATCATTCATTAACGTCGGTGCAATGCTACTCAGTACAACGTTGCACGCGCGGCCCGCCTGAGATATCAATATATGGCGGGCATGTTGATAGTGTCTGCTTGACGGGGGCGGCCCTGCGCCGCCTGGTGTTGAGCAGCCTCCTGGCGCGCGTGCCGGGCTGCAACAAATCGATTAAGTATGACTTCTGGGCGCGATAGGGGCCACTTACGAATTCCAGAAGAAAGGGAGTTGGCACAGCGGCGCAAGACATCGATCATAATCCAACACTTTATCGACAGGACCATGCAAGATATGTTTGATAGAGACATACGTGTCCATCAATTCAATGAATTAGGTAGTATACTCCAACCATCCAATGTCGCTTAGGTTACATGCCGTCATCCATGTGCTTTACAAAGATGCCATGATGTTGAACACTTCATCGAATTGTGTTGCAGCAGGGATGTTCATAAGTATACAAAGCGCCAGCCGCCGCCTCTGTAACTTAATCAACGTGTACCTATGCCTAAGTACCTTCTACCCTAGCCCTTTGACTCGAGGAATTGAGTCCACTTAGCAGGAAAAATGAATCCGACGTAGTGACTCAGTGACGCCATGCCAACTAGCTAGAATCTCCCTACAATGATCACACCGTCCGCAAGAGCTGGGCACCGGTCTCAACCTAGCCAATAATTTATGCAGCAGCCAGTGCACCTTTGACTTCTCCCCAATAGATGCACCAAGGACGCACCAAGACGTCTAATAATTCCTAAAAAAACTTTTTGAGCAGTTTTCCGATGGTCCACTTTGCGGCGGCCGCCTCGCGGAGCGCAGCCTGGCGGCGAGCAGTGTCCGGGAAGGACGTCGTCGAGCGTGTGATGCCATGCTCGTCGGCGTAGAACTCCAATAGCTTACGGTTGCCGACGGACTGAGAGAAGACCTCCTTCTTGATGGCGCCGTGGATGCCCCTGTGGAAGGAATTGCGGCCGCTGTCAGTAACTTAAGGTGTGCGACCAAATAAGTAACTTGGTCTACAGACTACTCTTAGTCTAGCGAACTTGATCGGGCCTTGGAAAGGCGGACCTCCTTTCAAGGTCAAAAAGAAGGTCAAGAACCCCTGCACCGTTCTCACAAACGGACAGAACAAACGCATTGTCTCTGAACTACTGAAGCGAGTACCAAGTATGTGAAGCAGTCACCTTCACTGAAAGCGAGAAACCCTTGACTATTTTCGCGCTGAAAAAGGATCAAGAAGAGTCCGATTGCACTGCCCATGAGGAAGTCCATACGGGCATCCTCAATGGACGGGCCCTGTTCGCTCACCAGTTGGAGTCGACCACCTGCGTGACGCTGTAGTCGACGGACGTGCTCATGACGGACAGGGCCTCCTCCTCGGACAGCGAGAAGACGTCCATCAAAAAGTTGCGCGACTCGTTGAACGCGGTCTGGAAGGCCCTGTTCAGATCGTCGCCGACGCCCAGGTTGGTCACCGTGCTCGGGACCGGCAGGTTGTCCAGGTAGTTCTGGTACGTGTACCTGCCCGGTGGAAAGGAAACAGGGCCCGTCAGGAAAGACCTTTCGGGAAGTGTCTCTGCAAAGGTGACTGTACGGGGATTCAGCCTGGCGTACTGTCTTCCAAGGTGATGAAATCACGGCACAAACTCGTGCAGCTTGCGCTCTGATCTTTCGAGTCGAGTGAACAGATCTGTCGCTTTTGCAAGCGCTGCCAGCACCGCGTAAACCAAGGAAAGAGAAAGGCACACGCAAGCGACTTGTGTCGAACGGACAAAGATGTGGATCCACTTGGCCAGGTCTGAATGACCAGTCCTCGTTTGGGGGCAGCCTTGTGCCCCTCTGACTATGAACCCGACTGTCACGTGCAAACCCAGGCTGATCGACATTTATTGCACCGTCACTAAACGGCCCCGTAACGTAGACCTTCACCCAGGCGAGCTGTCAAAGTTGAAACCAGGCGGCTTCTGCTTCGTTTACGAGCACGGCTACGTGCAGCCGAACCGGGGTCTCCGCACTCGCACGAACTAACAAATTTCCCAAGCGTGCTGCAACGCGCACCCGTGCACGATGCATTTGGTGGGCGTCTCGAGCAGCAAGTGCCAAGAACCCCACATGTCTTGAGACTGAACCTTCCAAGTAGCTGGAAGAAACCCACCCAACCCTTGTGAAGTGTCAAAGCCGCCGGCGCTCACCCGTTCACGATGTACTCGGTGGGCGTCTCGAGCAGCAAGAACCGCATACGACTTGACACTGAACATTTTAAATGGCTGGACTGGACCGGTCCTCCCTCGGAAGTGTGTCAACAGCCCATGCTCACCCGTGCACGATGTACTCGGTGGGCGTCTCGAGCAGCGGGAAGTTGAGGCCCGCGACCTCCGGCGGCAGCTCCGCCTTCTTGATGGTGCTCACGCGCACCGTCACCGTAAACGACGTCTCAATCGCAGTGCCCACCAGCTCGCTGTCGCCCTGAGAGTGGAAAAGAGCGGTAGCGAGTGAGATTTGGCCGCGTGGCGGCTGATTATGGTGGGGCGGGCGTCGTATTTCAGATCAGACGTAGAAAAGGTGACGCTACGTGCGACTGAGAGGCTGTCATATTTGTGGATGGGCGTAACGAGTGGTGGCAAGGTTCTACGGCCGGAGAGCACCGTGTTTTTTAGTCTCGTGTCGACGTTTAGCAAATAGATCTGCGCGAGGAGGTGGGCGAACGGATGACATTTCGGCATATATGAGGAGCGCGCGCGCTCGCGATGGGGCTTTACCTGGGCAGCGTGGGTGTCGGCCATCACGAGTCGCGCACCAGGAGTCTCGACGGCTGCAAGGGAGACCAGAACAAGATGAGAATCCGCTCTATTGGGGACCTCGGTCACACAGGACTGCAAAAGCTATCCTCAAGGATAATCTGTGTGATATTGTCCGGAAGCTGTGCAGCGTATGGAAACCGAGCTTCGCAAACGCCAGGGAAACAACACGTTCCAAAAGAGCGTTTGCAGTCAACAATGGCCTGAAGTTCTTTAAGGATTGTCTCGCGCTGACGTTTACTTCAGTTCCTAAACCAGGAGGTTTGCTTTGAGGGTGAAAAGGCAAAACGAAGCTCACTGTAGTACATGGTCGTGCCAGCGCCGATGCGCCAGTCCTGCACGATCAGCGCAGAGTTTGTGAGCAAAATGACAACAGAGCTTTCAAAGCAGATTCCGACGCCAAATCCCCTGTATCAAAGTCGTTGACTTCCGAGTTTCATCTGGCCACCGCCCAAGTACACTTGCAAGCAACTGATAACTTTAATGAGGAACCAGTTTCTGCTCAGAGACGCAACGGCTAAGAACGAACGTCGCTGCTACAATGGCTAAAGAAGTCTGCTGCTTCTGCCATTAGCTACCGCTCCCTCGTCAAGAAAAGCGGATGTTATTCGAATAGGAGCTTACGTCAATGTTTCCGCCGAACCGGCTGGGCGGAACGGTGGACGCGCCCCTGGTTCCGTTGGGGGCGCCGTTTAGGTAGTTCTGGCCGTTGCCGGGCATCACGCCTGCGCGGAACGGAACGCTCAGACCATTTAGCAAGGGTAGCCGCAACAACGAATACATCGATCAGAGGCTTACAAGACACGGTGCATTTGGGTTGCAAGCAAAGCCGACGGCTCGCGAGATTTGCCGGGTTGTATCCCGTCCAGTTATCCAACGAGCTTGTAGGCATAGGTCCGAGCGGTCGAAAGATTGCTCAAGACCGGGTTCTTCCCTTCTTCAAATGCTGCGAGGTATCCTTCTGTTGTCCGACGACATCCGCAAAATGATACAAATCAAAGTGCTCGTCTGTATTGGTAGCCGGCTTCGTAAGAAAGTGCGAAGAAGAGATGAGTTACGTTTCAAAGGGCGTATGCTAGTAGGCGCAATCGAATCAGACAGCTTTACCCACCCATGATTCCCAGATGCGGGCGCAGCGGGACCCGGTAGTTGAGGGAGTTGTTGAGGTAACGGATCGGCGTGCTCTGGTTCTGCACCAGTAGCAAGCCGCCACGTCAGCAGATTCTTTCATGGAGCCTCGTGTTGGACTCTGCCAGAAACGAGCAGGCAATGCACTTTGGAATTGCTCGTGACAAACCAAGGCGCTACTTTTAGTTGCTCTCATCAGCTCTGAATCCTGTTGAGAGGACCTTGACGAGTCCTGATAGCCCTCCGGCTCAAATGAAGTCGGATTGAAAGTGACGGACGTTTTCCGGTTGCTTAATCGCCAAAGAGGAGACGTAGGCTCACCAACGTCGTCTGAAAGCCATCTGGGTACGGAAAGCTCAGCTCAGCGTTGTTGTCGACTCCGTAGCTGCAAAGGTTGGTGCGAACTTATCATCAGAGTCCAGAAAGTCCGAGTCTGCCGCAAGAATGCAAAACCGATCTCTTGACTGACTTCTAGACCCTGAAAGTCGGGTCGCTTGAGAGGGCTCATAGCAACCTCTGAAACGATAGCTTTGCTGACGTTAGAAGCCATTTCGCTGAGGATCTGGGTGTTAATCCGAAAAGTAATGTTCTCAGTGGTCGCACATGCAGGACGGTCTGCTTGCATCCACGGCAATACACAGGCCTGTGCGCCACCAGATCCAACGCCCACCGTAAGTTCTTCCAAAGGCGCTTAAACCGCTTTCCTTTCACTCGAAACATATGATCACAGTCTGGCCTTATTCCCACGCTTCAGCAAACGTTGTCTGTAGAAGCAGACTACGAGGAACTTTACACGAAGCTTCGTGCGTCAAGCTCGCGAAAGGCGTACAACGGAGAGCAGAACAAAGAGAAGGGACGGCTTTTGAGTTCGAGAGCTCACTTGACGGCGTGCGGCACAACGACTCCATTCTGAATGTTCTGGAGAGCGGTGTTGCCTCCACGATTGGGGTCCAGCATCTTGGGTACCTCGAACTGGTACACAGGGTTGCCCCTACACACACAAGAGGGCAGTCGAACGTCAGCGGTGCTTCACCCTCGACGGTCCGCTGTGCGCTTGCTTGTACTGTGACCACTTTTTGCAAAAGAATTAGAAGGTCTTCGAAGCAAGCTCTTTTGTGGTTGACGGCGTCAATGTGGGTCGAAACGGGAGTGGCGTTGGCAAGTCGAGCAGCTTGAGAAGATGCAAATCACGCATTGTTAAATGTTACGGTCCTGATTTGGCAAGCACTGACGCGTCAATGAGGCACCTCTCAGAGAGTGTGCGAGAATCAGTCGTGTTAGAATAGCAACAAAAGACGGTGGAGTCGCTGGCATTGCTTCTCGGCTCACCAGAAGCCCTCCTTGTCCTGGACGACGTCATAGACGGTGATGATTGATGACGTGAAAGGGGTTCCGTCCCGGTGACCTGCGCGGATCTGATACCTGGCACAAGAAACAAATAGGATTTAGGGATTGGACCCTTCAACCGGATAAAATCTGGGGTGCTGCAGTTGTGAAAGCCTGTTCTATCGGAGGCTGGAAGAGAAAGAAGGTGCAGTCACAGATCCGATAGCACAGACCACCCATACGGATGCCTGGAATTGGGCAGAGCTCCTCACAAGGTGAGATCAACTGCCGAGGGAGTCGACCTTGTGTTTCAATCCAATGCGACTTGGAAAGATGGGGGAGCGGTTCCTGGAGGAAGACATGTGGACGGTGTACTTCGGAAATGCCTGTTGCACCAGTCCTAATACGATTCAAGACGCGAGCTCCAAAGACAAAATGTAATGCAGCCTCACCCGAAGTTGGAGGCCCTGTTGATCCCGTACGTTTTCCCTGTCAAGGGGTTGGGCCTAGGCTTCAACGACAGGATCTCCACCTGTATACCCAAAGTGGCATGGACGGATACATATCAGTAGGGGAATTCAGGGCGGCTAGTTGCTTTAGTTTTGACTCAAATGTCCACGATCCTTCTATAGTTGGTCGCTGCACCACCATCTGAAAGATGCTTTTCAAGCACAGTAGAGTGGTTTGTCGGTCAAACACAGAACTCATATCTGCTGTAAGACTCCTGGCGCCGAAGACCTTGCCTTTGGTGAATAGTGACATCATCATGAGCATCTAAAACACTTCACAGGTTAATCGTCTCGTACCTGAGTTGCCCAATCAATATCTATATGGACGCTTCAGACTGGATCTTCATGAGCACTCCAAGCTTATTCCAGTGTAGGATATGGTTAAGCCTTTGATGAGCTTACCTGGAGCACATCGCCCGCCTCGGCACCGCAAACATAGATGGGGCTGCAGGGCGAAGGGGCACATGATCAGAAGCTGCAGCTAACCACCGCATGCCATGTGTTCAGTCTGGCTAAACATAGCTGAGAATGGTGGTGGCATTGGACTTCTGCATTGAGAGCTACTGGCCCTCACTCCCTGAAATGCAAAGGAAGAAAAACCAATGAGATGGATGTATAAGACCTGACCAGGAGCAACACGGAAGGGAGCGCCTCCCTTTCCAGGGGCGTCTGCTCACCCAGTGACGATGTGAGACCCAGACCCCGGGTATTTGGGGACATTTTTGGCGGCAATGCTCGTGTTTGTCGCCCAGTAGTAGATGTCGCTCACGCCGGGGTCACCCTGGAAAGTGGACATGATGGTAAATCACGCCTTGAGCTGTAGCATTTCACACTGTTTAACACGACACTCCAATAAAAAAAAGCCTATTGCATGGCACCAATGAGCAATCACAAATGTCAGCTCCTTCAGAAATGATTAGTGACTAGATGCTGTTCCTCTTTCCAAAACTCAGCTGGCCCAGCTGGCCTAGAAGGACCATGAGGGAGTGGCAGTATACCAAGTTATAATCACATCTAAGCACACATAAAGGCCGAGTGGCAGTTTCGCTCTCAATATATCATCACATACAGGGGCATGGAAGCTTTCTTGGAGTGCGAAAGGAATCTCATCCAGCATTGCAAAAGCAGATCATGGAGTGGTGGCTACCTGGATCATCTTGGCCCAGTCATTGCCCGCCTCGTGCGTGATCACCTCCACGGTGATGATGTCACCAGACTGAACATACGCCACAGGGTCTTGAAAAAGGTCGTAATAGCCCCTGCAGCATTGCAATGTTGACAGCTGTCACAATGTGGTCACCACTCTGAAAGCCTAGACAAAGAGGCACTTTTGATGCTGGCGCTAGAAAAGAATGAGAAGATAAGATTTCTACTCTTCCTCAGACTTTATCAGTGAGGACACCCAAGCATTGGCGCTGGATACCAAAGCCACTGTTGAAAGTAGACACAATGCTGGCAAGATGAACACCAGATGAACACCAGTTATTCAAGACGTTCAGGATCTACCAGAATGAAACCTGCTGGATCAAGACATGAAAAGCCGTCACCTGCTGCACCCACCTTGACCATGCAGAGCACGAAACAAACCTGGAGAACTTTCACGTTTGCATGATCTGTGAGAACCCCCTTCTTTACACAATTTGCACTTCACAGGAAGGTGGCAGGTTCAAGTTGAAGCTGCTGAGATGCTCCAGATAAAGTGCTTACCATCTGACGGTGGAACTATTGGCGGGCAGATACGAAGTCGACGGGCCACTGCATTGGCTGGGGAGCCCAGATCCCGATGTGGGGCTCGTAGCGGGTCCTGTCGCAGGGGCCACTGCAGGGGCTGGGCTGCTGGTGTTTGTTGTGGGAGAAGCACTGGGGCCTTGGGCGCTGCACAGCTGAACCTGCTCCCCAACTAGGGCGAAGAGGAAAAGGGCTAGGAGGCAGGAGGAGAAGTGCGGAGCCATGGCGGCTGTTGTAGTGGGAAGCTTGGTTGCAACGAATGGCCCTTCTTGATGATCGAGCTTTTGCAGGTGGTTGTCAAGCAGGATTGGCTGGTATGCAGAGGCGCACGGTCTGGTGGTTGCAAGTGACAGCACGCTCTCTCTTCTAAACCTGCACTGTAGTCTGTCTGACGCTTCTTTGTAATGCGTCTTACGATGAGAGATTAGCCTCCAGCAAGTGCCTTTGCTCAAGAGAAAACAGTTTTTCGCACATTGAGCTTAGGATGGGTAGACGTTTTGCGAAAGCTTGCGTTGTTGTGACCATCTATAGCAGTTTGCTGCAGGGATGAGAGGCACTTCGCTGCAAGATGTTAAATGGGAAAGGACCTTTGAACAAAGTAAATTTCGAAGTTTGCGCCGGCCCAGAGTGAGCAAGCAGAAGAGCACTAGAGCTGCTCAAATCTGTGGACACGCGAAATTAGGAAGAGTTTCTTACAAGTTACAGATTCCGTTGCAGGCACTAAAGTACATCTGAACTTGTTCGATCCAGCAGCATTCAGAGCAAGCAATGGCGCGCTGGCCTTCTGAAGCATGAGATCGGTACTATTATACCTATATCAGGCGTGATGATAGCCTCTGAAGTCTAGAGTCGTATGTAAATTTTATGGCAGTCTACCTACCTATCGTACCTACTGGTACCTGTACCTGTCCAATGGAGCGACACAGCGCCGATCGAATCCCGAGTGTGAAGCGCATGATTGAGCAACTGTGGTCGGTGGTCGGAGCTCGGCGACCGGCAAGACAGCGATCGGTTGTTGTCGTCGCCGCCAACCTGGTCAGTAATGATATTCCACGTGAGCCACATGCCTCTGGGGGTCAAAAAATTGCCACGTGGTGCATCAGAATCCTGTCGACATCGCGTAGACTCCAGAGTGTGACCTTTTTCGCGGGTCGCCGCATTTGGGACTGACCCTGACGGAGGAATCGTGAGGATCCTGACTTCCCGAGAGTGGCGGGGTAGGTAGACCATGTAGCCATATTATTGCAGGTGCACTGTGGCAGCAGGCTGGCATCCGAACAGTCCGAAGAAGCAGGCTTGCCCCAGTGCCACAGGCTTGTTCGCATGGCACGTCAACCCCACGTCAACAACTCGGACCGCCCTGGCCCCTACGAATTATGATATCATGCATGATGTCAATGATCTTCCATGTTCAATCGAGAGATTTGCTGACAATACGCATCCGGTAGGTATACGAGAGTCTCGTTCAAGCCTTGCAGCTGGCATGCCATCACGCCATTTTGTGCCACCTATGTGCGGGTTGAGCTAGCAACTTCTGTCGTGTGTTATTACAAATACATTCATAGTCCTTGCGGTGAAAGCCAATCCTGCATCCACATTGACAGCATTCCATACTCATGGAGTACGTTCTCAAAAAATGGTATGCTGATCGGTGTACGGCTGGTGCATCTCTACATCTCTTTTCGAGTCGAGATTGATATCATTGATAAGTTGATGGCCCAAAAGACGAGTTCTCCTAACGGTTGGAAGCACCCAGCTCTGCCAAAGCCTTTGCAACAAAACCCCCACCCGGACATACCGGGGGACATACAAGATTCAATGGCATGCTGAGACCATGGGCAAGAGGACTCAAGTGTTCTCAACAAGTTCTTCCTTACGCTTTCAGCAACCCTGCCTTTTGGCATGGCCGAACCGTCAATTCGAATAATCAGAAAGCGAGCTTATTGCAAGTGCACCAAGCAGTCTGCAAGGCGCACCTTCGTTGTATTGCGCTCTTATATCATAGTTCCTCCTCCATGTAACTGGCCCGCTGCAGCCCCTTCCACCTGCATGTACAGGCACGGAACTCTCTAGCTCTTCTTCGACAAAAGATTGCCTTGAAATCAGCCACGGACAAGCTCTTCGCGTACGGTCGTGAATTACATGATCCTCAAGGGTAGTGCAAGTAAAAACAGGCTGCGCCTTTCACTCACCACCCAAGGACCTGAGAGGTGGTGCTTCCTACGTAGACACCAACCAGCCGAGCACGCGCGCTCGAGCGTCGTCGATGCATTCTTCAAAAGTGTGTCATGCTCGTCTTCGAATCCAACACAAACACTCCATGGGAAGTGGATTTGACGATCTACTGAAAGTATTGTAAAAGAGTCGATCGTTCTAAAGAGCAACGCTTGTGAGAAAATGATAGTAGCATTTGCACACATGAGTGCCGGAAAGAGAGGTGCTATTTTTAGAATTTAAAAACAACTTTGCTTTCCTCAACGTTTATTTGAGACAACTCCTCTCAAACAAGAACTCGATCTTTTCGTCCAGTGCTTCAATGTCAAGCAATGATGCAGTCGGGTGAGCGGGTGCAATCATACACTGACTTCAATCGCAAAGTTTTTGGATGAAACCTTGTCTTGACGACGCCAAATCCAGAAAGGACTTGACATCTGGGATCTGCAAATACTGACTGCATGCGCCAGGGACATGTGGCTCCTGCCCTTTCGATCTTCATGCCCAAGCCTGGCGCCCTCCTTGGTACAGCCTATAACACTGTTTGCCCCACGAGCCTCCTCTTTGGTTTGCGACCAATTGTATACGGATCAATATCAACATTCTACTGGCTAGAAAGCAGCCTGAAGCATCCTCGACCATGGCGTCAGCCAACGTAGCTGTAATGCACAACCATCTTGTATCACAGATTCCAGCGTCTGAAGGAGGGCTGACTGTTCTTACCAAAGGACATAGGAAGATACTGTTGTAATGAGTGCGGACGCCTACCGGCACACCCGAGTTGACACGTCAGGGGAGCAGGCCCGCGCAATTTTCACTAACTGTCACAACAATGGGGCAAAGATGTCTTACGACCTCTGAAACCATTTTTGCTGTTCTCCAAAGACCGTAGAGACTAAGATGGACTCAGTCCCTTCATGAGAGACCAAAGCCTGGCCAAGGCATTGCAAGACATCCCGCAATCTTGGGAAAACTGTAAGGCAGGACGTTCTAGACTGAACAAGGATGATGCTATTGAGTTGTGCTCATGGAAAAAGGTGGTGGTTGCAAAGCCACAATAGGTTGGACAAACCTTGAATAGAACATTTACTTTAGTCAAATAGTGCACCATAATGCTGGCTGCCAATAGGTAGCCAGGTTTCAAGACTTACAGGGCCAAGCTTGCAGGAGAACCTGATGTGCAGAAACAAAGGAAGGTCCCTGGCCAGAGGGGCGTCAATCTCAATGCAGAGCCGGATGATGCACGAATGAAGAAAACTCAACCATAGAATATTTCTCTCAAGCTCTCTGAAACTTTCTGGTCGACCAGTGCAAAAGATGCACGTCCATTATATGAGGTGACCACCAAGTGACATTGCTTTCAAAGTAGAGTTTACCTTTTCAGTCTCAGATGACACCACCATCGGGGGACAAGGAGGCGGCCAGAGTAAGAGCGACCAACCTCTGCTAGCGTCCCCCTCGTTGCAACTCCACTTGAGACCACCTCAAAGGCCCCTTGGATGCCCCTGCGAGAACCATTCTTTCTAAAAAGTCACCGCAACCGCGCACAGTAAGGAGCCCCACTGTGCTTGCTGTTATGGCGGCCCCGCAGCTGGCACTTCATCTCTTGGGCATGAGCTCTTTTTCCTGGCTCTGAATAGGACCTTACACAACTGGGACATTGCACCACTGCAATGTGGGGGCAATGTGGGAATTCTTGAGGCTTGGAAAGCAATGGATTCTGGCAGCTTCAGCTCAGCTCAGCGCCAGCTGTCAATCATCACCGTGAAGAAGCCTCTCCAAAACTCACTCTATTAGTATCAAGGCACGAACCCTAATCTGAAAACCCTGTGGTCAAATGCGCGCGTTTGCTAGCGCAGATCTGAACAAAGCCGGACCATATCATGAGGTTCCTGAGGGCGCTGGTACAGACGGTGTGGCACCGATTGAGAGGGAGGGGGCGGCTGCGACGCCATGCGCGCACGCCAATGGTGGTCCCTCACAGCCCCGAGTCCGACCTTGACCTGGAGAGCCAGGGCCTGCTCAAGTCCGTGCAGCTAGACCGCATAGACAGCAGCGCGGAGCGCTACACCGGCGCAAGGATTCAGGTCAGGAATCTCAACCTTGTGGCAGAGTCTGGGCAGAAGATTCTAGACGGGGTGAGCTTTGAGGTGCAGAAGGGGCAAATTCTCGGGTTGATCGGGCCCAGTGGGAGCGGGAAGTCGACGGTGCTGAGGGCTTTAAATAGGCTCTGGGAGCCTGAGAAGGGGGCGGTGCAACTAGACGGGGTGGACATCACCACCCTGGACGTTGTCAAGCTGAGGCGCCGGGTGGGCATGCTCTTTCAGACCGCAGCGCTCTTCGACGGTGAGCGCTATACAGCTGTCTTGCGAGCATTGGCTTAGCTTGGTCTTCTGTGCCCCTCATTTAGCAGCTGGAATGGCGGTGGTGCATGTGATGCATGCACTGGCTGTCCTTCTTCGACCAAGGGGTGAAAGCATGCTTCTTGTGACAAAGTTTTAATTGACGCCAAGCGGTTGCAATGAAAGGCGTCACCTCATGCATGTTGTGAGAGAAACTGATCTTGTTTGGAGAGTCCAATCTAGTCCAGCTCAACTGAAAAGGATGCGCTAGAAGACCAGCAGAGTTAGTCCGCTCATGGTATACTATCTTCTTTGAGAAGAGTGCTGATTTTCTGTAGATTTTCCAGCTTGCACATATGACGATCAGATGCCGGTCAGAGCTGGCGCAACTTTCAGCTTCATCAACCAATCAAGTGCCGCACCTTTTCAAAAGTTGGCCAACCGCAAAGGGTTTGCACGGTTGAAACCTTGTTTTTCCAACACTGTCGTTGGAGAAGACTACACATTTTCAAACTTCCTAACAGTGTCCCATCTTTTTCTCAGGAACTGTCGCAGACAACGTGCGCTACGGCCCTTCACTCCAGGGGAAGAAGCTCTCCCCCGACGAAGTTGACGCCCTTCTCCAGAAAGCCAGCCTCGAGCCAGGGATTGCCTCAAAGCAGGCGCTTGAGCTCTCAGGCGGCCAGGCACAACGCGTCTCCCTTGCTCGCACTCTTGCCAATTCCCCAGACTGCCTTCTCTTGGACGAACCGACGTCCGCTCTCGACCCCGCTGCGACGCGCAAGGTGGAGGAGACGGTGCTCAAATTGCGTATTGAGTTGGGGATAACGGTGGTACTCGTCTCGCACAGCGTGGAGCAGATCAGGAGAATTGCGGACGATGTATGTCTGCTGGTGAAGGGAAAGATCGTGGAGCGGGGCACGCCTGCGGAGCTGCTCAACCCGCAGCACCCGCTTTCGCAGCAGTTTCTGGCGGGGACGCTCGAGTCAGGGGACGAGTAGACTGGAAAAGCGAGACGGTCCGGAAGCCATCGATAATTCATTGGAGAGAAGTATCCTTGTTCTCACCATTGTTGACCGGCCCCACTGCTGCATATAGTATCTCTTCAACGTTTCCGAGTAGAAGTTCTTAGCGCAAGCAGTTACAAGCTTAGCACCCCCGCAAAGTTGAAAAGCTTCGCCACAAGAAGCGGCCATGGCGAACCATCTGCCGGCGTTTGCCGGGGGCAATCCATACCTGTTCCCCCCCTCCCCAGCCCCCTCTGTCGCCGAAGCCCTAAGTACAGTGGTCACAGATGCACAAGACGATTTTGTTCGCGGGTTGCTGCGTCCTGTTGCCGCGATGGCCCTGGTCTTCGTGGCGATGCTGATTTCCTGGCGGGAGGGCGTGGGACTGGAGAAGGAGATGCTTGTGGCGGTGGTGCGCTCGTTCGTGCAGCTGATCGGCATCGGGTTCGCGCTGCAGTTCGTGTTTGCGCAGAAGGGCTTTGCGCTCATCCTGCTGTCTATCAGTATCATGGTGAGGAATCGTTGAGCTTATTCTTTGAAATTGAGGCATGATGATGGGCCTGGAATGTTCTGGAAAGTTTCTCGGTGGAGTCTGTGCAGGTTCCAAGCCCCGGAAATCAAAAGCCCTTGAAAAGTACCGGAATGCTGAACGATGCCTTGATTTTGGTCACGTGCTCGCCACCACAGGGGACTTTTAATGAATGATGTTCAAAGGGCCTTTTATCGAGCCTTCACATTCTAAGGTTTGTAATATTTTAAATACATTCCGGTCCTGCTTCTCCCTCCGCTTTCTGTAGCCCACTCTGTTTGCCAGGCACCTCATAATCCTTTGGTTTTCCCTTCCTTTACGAACCTAGAAGTCATTGTGCATCAGAAATCCACAACCTTTGGTCGATCCGCACTCACTTCCATGAATCGGCCTTGTCCGTTCAACATGACTCGACTGGAACCACGGGTTACGGTTTGTGCTTTTCCTTACGGATCCAGCAGCCTCACAGTCAGCGGATCTCTCACACAGATCCTGATTGCCGGTTACACGGCAGGCCAGCGCGCCAAGGCCGTCCCTGGCAGCCACCACGTGGCGACTCTCGCCATCCTAGTTGGCACCAGCATCACCACGACCGCGCTGGTTCTGCTGCGCGTGTTCCCCTTCGAGCCACGCTACATCATCCCCATTGCCGGAATGATCACCGGGAATGCCATGACGGTCACGGGCGTCACCATGAAGCGCCTGAGGGAGGACATCCGCCTGCAGCACCTCGAGGTAAGCAACCCAGGAAGAAAGCAATCAGGGTAACAGATTGTTGTGGGAGTGAGAGGTTAACGTTGTGAGTGGTTCTGGATGACTTTTGATGCCGGCCTGGCAGAGACCTGTTTGATGACAATGGCCTCAGGGGTTGGGAAAAAATGCATCGGAAGATTAACGTTTCAAAGTGATGCTTGCATGAACCGGACGTCGTTGAGTTGTCTGATTGAGCGAATGGGTCTAGGATATGTTGCGGCCGTCTGGCGGGTGCGTTCAAAGATCTGCTTTTCTGTGATCCGGAGATTCACCGGAAAGAAAGCAGACAAGCAGGCGAGTCTGGCTGGCTGACGTCGAAACTCCCGTGTCTCCTCCGTCGAACCTGCGAGCACTCACAGAGGTTCTGATCGATTGCGACCACAAAGTCCAGGACCGCCTTTCCGAAACGGCGGAACGTCTGCATCAGTACATCGCCCTCCAGTTCTTCGACGCAGTTCTTGCTCTGCAGGTGGAAGCCGCCCTTGCCCTCGGTGCCACCCCCCGACAGGCGAGTCTGGTGCAGCTGCGGCGGTCCCTGGGCACTGGCATGAGCCCCGTAATTGACAACGCTAAAACGATTGGTCTGGTTTCTCTCCCGGGGGCCATGACCGGGCTGATCATGGGCGGGGCGTCTCCCCTGGAGGCAGTTCAGCTGCAGATTGTTGTCATGTACATGCTGATTGGTGCCGCAACATTTAGTGGTTTGACTGCGACGTACTTGAGCCAGCCCAAGTTTTTCACGCCCGCTTACCAGCTAAAGCAATCGGCAATATCGAATGCGCCGGCAGTGGCGAAAAAGTGAGAAGTTGTAGACTAGACAATCATCTTCTAATCAGCACATTGAGAGGTTGCACGATTGGCAATGGTTTGACAAATAGGCAATAGCATTTTTGATCACCATGATTCATCAATCTTTCTTCTAACCTTTTCTTTGGCTCCTATGAGAGCAACTCAGCCGGTCCAGTTTCATGATGCAGTGCAAGTCCACGGTTGAGTGTGCTAATCGATACGATCCGACTTGCTTCAATGGTCCGACCGTCAACAGTTTAGCTCGGGCCCCTTGAACCTCGCACCCAAGATGTTGTTGTCGATCGACGAAGTGTTCGATAGTTCCCACAAATCAGGTTAAAAGCATGGTATGTCGTCGCTTCCGTGGAATCCGCACTTGATGAAGTGCAGACTGGCCGTGCAACATCTTGGTTGCTAAGACGGTGAAAGTTCCCGAGATTGAAGCACATGTGCATCTGGGTTTTTGCAAGTAGGCCATACTATGGCCAACTTGTGTACGATACACATGCGAAGCTAGCCGCCTATAGACTGTCATAAATACATCATTTCATGATCTGCGGGCAGCACTCATCAAGTTTGTGAGCCCACGCCCTCGGCGCAGCCCAAACACTTGATTGATTTACTCTGACTTATCTTAATTGGAGGCGCGCCGCACTGCGCCGCACTGCGGCGGCCGCACTGCCAGCCCAAGAGAATTGCCGGCAAGCCTGAGCGTAAGGTACATTGCACTATGTCACTGCGTAGCATAGCCCCACTGATTCGCGAATATACTGCATCCAGATCGATGATCAAAACGATGGCGACTGCGTACTGATGTTTCTCTTAGAAGTCTGCGGCAGGCCGAATGCCTCGAAATATGCATACATCTACGGTTTGCACATGCATCTATGGTGAGGCCGAATGCCGGCCCTTTACTGCACGGCTGGGCTTGAGGTCAAATGTCTACCATGCAACAGGTTACCGTAGAAAGTCGATTCCCGTGGTGCCCGTCTGCTTTCTCGAACCGCTTAAGTTACCATTAGAAGAGATAACTTAACAGGGTTACTGGACGTAGCGTCGACTCTGTCCTTTCATTGGATGTCGTGCAACTCTTCTAAGCCCACAAATCGAGAATCCGTGGGTTCTCAGCCGCTCGTCTGGATCAGATGGCACTCTTTCTCGGATAGCTTCCTTTCACCCCCGGCTCAGTTCATCCATCCTATGCGCTCTTGCCCGGACAGCGAAAACTCCAAACGTAACTGGTTACCTTGGTTATCCTTGAACCTCCGCAAAAATCCGCCCCTAACTTCGTTTGCCCCTTTCAAGAGCGCTGTTTGGCGGTCACTCGCACGGACTGTTTTCACCCGCAGCAGTCGCTCGCTTTGTCGACGCCCAGTGCAAGCAGCAGCCGCGGAGCACAAGCATGTGCAGTGTGAGCTGTCGCGATATCCTTGTTTGATGTCACGGTCTCCAACGGCTGTACTTGCGGCCGCGATCTGGGCGCCGATGTCACCTGCCTGGACGGCATGTTGGCTGCAATTGCTCGGGCGGCCCAAGCAAACTTAGCGCACTGTGGGCTGATACAGGGTCGCTCGTCACACCGAGCCTGCGACGAAAGAAGCTGGGTACAGTCGCGAAAGAAGCTTTTGGAAACAGCGCTAGATGAGAAGGAGGGAGTGGACAACTACAGTGAGAAGCGCAGAAGAGCTGCCACGTGGGCGGTCTCTCGGAACAAGTATTTCGTGTTTTGAGGAGACAGTCTTCAAGGAAGCGAGACCAGACTAGGATCAAACAAACAGGGCGGCAGTCAGACGTGGAGGAGGGGCATGTAAGCGAAGGCGGTGGTCTACTATCCTGCTCCTAAGTCAACCGCTACAGGGATTGGAACACGTCCGGTGCCCAATGCTCATCAACCCCGGAGCATATGCATATGCGCCGACGCGTCGCTAATAACGCTAGAGGGACCCGCTTCTGAAAGTGTCAACGGCTCAGTCAGATCCACGCGAAACGACTTCGACGGTGCCCTCACCGCTTATGATAACGACCGCAGCTCGTGGGCAGCTTGTCTGCAGCTCAAGAGCTCTTGCGCTGACACTTCAGCTTGTGGCTCGGCCAGTCCGCCAGCTGGCAATCCCTGCACATGAGAATGCGGACGAATCAGCAGAGCACGGACTTCGGAGCCAGATAATCTGCCACTAGGAAGCAGGCAACGTCATGATTAGATCGAGCTAGGATAAGAAGGAAACACTGTACGGAAGCCAGAAGTGCCATGAGAGACCGTTCCAGACTTGGCTGTGCAACTCGGAGCATTCTTGTGGGCAGAAACGACACTCTGATCGACAGAGCAATCTGGAATCGAGTTGGTGCAGATTCCGTTCCTCCGTGTTGACATACCATTGACCAGTCAGAGGAAACTTTAATTCAAGCGGCACCGTGCTCACTTGCTGCAGTAGACCGTCTTCTGGCAGCGTGCGCACTTGGACTTGGCGGGCGACTTGGCGCACATCGCGCACTCCCTCGGCTTGCGCTGCGGAGGCGTGTGGCAGTATTTCGTTACGCGCGGCTCCGACTTTTCGAAGTACTTCCAATGGTACGGCCGGTCCGGGTGCGCCTGGTTGTACTCCGTGATGATCTCGTGGCCGTTACTCATGAAGTCGGCCACGGAAGCGGACACGCGCCGCACGTGTGCCGTGCCAACGAAGATGTTGCCGCTCTGGTAGTCGTACCTGCGACGGAAGAACGTACTCCCCGAATCAGCCAGCCTGAGAGCTTAGGGGTCAACCACCACATACGAGAATCTTCAAACCCGCTTGCAAGAAGCCGCTTTCAGTATTCTCCCCGTTGAAGTTTCCCGGCGACGTCAAAAGATGCAGGTAGACCTAAACGGTCGCCACGAAGATGTTGCCAATCTCGGGAGGGGCGACAGCCTACCCTGGGACACCAGGCAAATTGCTCCCCAGATTTGACATGACGTGGGCACGACTGACGACGCCCTTACCAAATCTCAAATGCGTGAGATAACGTAAACCAAGATAGCAACGCCTCGTCGCAGTTGGGCAGCTTGAGCGGTTCGCCAAGACGACTTGCTTCATAGCCTCGGTGAAGGTAAATCAGTTAGAAAAGCCCGTCAGAATTGTGCAGCCCACGATCGTCAAACCTTCCACCTGTCAAAAGCCTTTCTGAGTCCGTGCATCCCAGACCCCTTCTTCATCACAAGGCACAGGTACAAGTCGAAACGAGAACCAGCAGGCTCAAACGACGCCGTCTGTTTCAGCTTCACCTGAGGCTGTCCTCTGGTCGCTCCGGATCCACCTCCGAGCGGATTGTAAGGGAGAACCGGTTGTCGGGTACGGTGCTTCCGCTGCCCTCGGAGGGGCTCACGCTGAGCAGCGCCTTGACCGCCAGCTTGGCAAGGGCGACCCCCAGGGCACAGCCCTCTTCCAGCAGGGCAAAGCGCAGCAGGAACGGCATTAGGTCGGGGTCCGTCAGAAGCGCTTTCGCAATCGGGCCGCCAACCTGAAGGGAAGATTTGGTCAACGGGAATAACAACCAGTCGAGTGACGCTTTTGAGGTGGGGCTTTCCTGGAGGAACGTCCGCATGTCAGTACGATCTGCAAGCTTGGTAGATTGAGCAAACGAAGACGCGCTGACAGTTGGCGGAGGAGTTTGAACCGAGGGGTCTACTTGGCATTGACAGGGTTCGGACTCTTTCAGGAACGTGCACAAAAGAAGGGCACTTTGCTCATGACTTACTTTTCCACAACTGGTACATGGACAGCTTGCTGGTGAGCGAGTTGTAGCAGGCTAAAAAGCAGGTCTCAGCAGGCAACGTGAGCAACATAGAAGAACGTATTTCGAAGAGCCGCGACCCGTGCAGGGAGAAATATCCGCTGCGTACTTGGATACTAAAAGCTGGTCAAAATGCCCTTTCAAGGACGCGACAAAAGAAGAAAGGCAAGTTCTGAAGGACAACAAGCCGGAAGGGACATACAAAAAGAAGCAACGAAAAGCATAGGACCCGCGTACAGTACACAATCAGGAAGAACTCATAGAAAGGAGAATTTAAAACCGGAACGGCATACGATGCACCTTCCAAGCTGAATTCGACTGCTGTTAGATGCATGAGGTCGGTACTGACAAAAGTTCGACCGTCCACTCGCCTTTGCATCTTGCGGAAGGTACTGAAAGAAGTGCATCACGTGGGCTGCCGTCTCATCCACGTGGCACACGGGCTCGAGCGTCCGTACAATCCCCGCCCTCAGCAGCTGCAGCGTCACGTTCGACCGGTGGGGCTCGACAATGTTCCAGATCCTCTTCACACCGGGTTCTAGGGGGATCCCCTTCGACTCCGGGTATAGGTTGAAGGCCTCAGCAAAGGTAATAAGGAGGAAGCGCCGGTTGGGGCTGGCGCGCACGACTTGGCGGGCGAGGGCGGGCCAGAACTCGAGCTCGTACAGCTGAAAGGAACCAACGAGACTTTGTCATAAACACAATATCGAAAGGATGTGCGGACAGAAAGAGTGCACGGAAGGAGGAAGCAAACAACCCGCAGTCGAATTCAAAGCAAGTTTTGCGCAGAAGGTTCTCGTTGTCTAAGAGTTACCGGCACACCCTTTCAGAAGGGTGAAAGCAGCGCCGGAAGCGCGAAGACGAAAGTAAGACGTGCCCCGCGCGTGCCTAAACGACTAGATTGGCACCAAGTCTCTTGGTTGCTGGCACGGCCAGCAAAGCTCTGCGGCAGTTCGTCGCACCTGCTGATCATTGGCCATGGGCGGGAGCGTCTCCGAAAACCCCAACAAGTTCTTCACAATCCTCTCGGCAGCGTCCGTGTCTGGCGCCTCCTTCAAGCGGTTGCACCAGAAGCGGGCTGGGCCGATGGGGGGCGGGTAGCGCTCCTTTTTCAGGTCGTCAACTAGTGCGTCTGCCAACGAACTATGGGCTTCTGTGTAGCGAGACTTTTCTCGACGCCGCGTGGAATCTGAGAAAGAGGGGGGTAAATGACGGGTTAGTGATGGTTCAGCGTGGATGAACGCTGGCGTCATCATTAATGAGGTAAGCACGCAAACCTCAGACTATTACAAAGTATTCCCCGCTTTGTCTGCGGAGAACAGATTCGTGACGGCCGCTTCTGAACAGGGCCGTAAGCCAACTGTAAAACCAAATCTTATCACTTAGAGATGAACATGCGCATTAGAGCCGCAAAGAAGAGGAATGCTACGAAGGAAGAGGGCGGCGAGTGATGCGCCAAGCACAGAACGAATGCTGCTATGACGTTGCTGAAATTTCGACTGTGATCCAGGTAGCTTGTACACCTTATTATGAGAACTCATACCGGTCACCGTGATCACTTTCCTTTTGCGGCTGCCGATTACGTCGTTGGACGCTCTTTGGTCGAGGCACCTTTCGGACGTTCCAGTGGCGGACACCCAACTTGTTCGGCAAAATTACAAGAGCCAAACAGATGCTTTCTTAGGGTGTCGAACAATGATATTAGAACCCTGCAGACGCCGCATTCATCATCTTCGCTAGGTAGAAGAGAGCAAACGGGTCTTACCTTTCAGCGCCCGCACGACTCGGAAGATCTCGTCCCGTGTGCAGAATGTCGTAAGCCCATCTTGCAAGTTCCGTACTTGGACCAGAAAGGAGCAGGCCAGGGTGCACTCGGGCTCGGACGTCTCCCACTGCTCGATCAGGTAAACCAGGTTCTCGGCCATACCGGGCATGGACAATATCTGCAGGGCAGCACAAGATCTGGTGTCACTACTTCGATGGCCCATGCAGACCAGTCATTTCCTGATCTGACAGTTTCGTTGGAGGAAAGGGGGGAACGAGAGTACGGTCGAAACTCTGGCAGTTGAAGGTCACCATCAACCTGAAAGACAAAACATGCAGGACGGCCGAAAACGTGCCTCCCTTAGGCGGGCCCGATCAAAGGGCTTGTAACACTCGTCGAAGTTTTGAAGAGACGTCAACCTTTTTTCTTGGCAGACAACCACGGAAATCGGAGAACCGTTGGGACCTGTGCACTTCTGCGCCGGTACTGCGATGAAAGATCCGACCGACCAACTCTCCGTCTGCACGGAGTATCGTTTCTGAAATGCTTTCGCACCTTGTCTTGCTGGTCCGTGGTCATGAGGACTTGGAGGAAGAGGCGCATCCCGTGATGAACCACGCTGTTGGCCTCGCAACCTTGCCACGTGGCGTTCCAGCTTTTGAGGCGGGCGATCGTCAGCAGCTTTCCGATGGTGTCGTATACGCCGTGCTTCGCCAACCAGCGGTTGAGTTTTCGGGTGAAGGCGTCCGTCAGTTCCTGGGAGAGAGAGGACGAGCAGGGCCGGTTAGGCGGAGGCCTTTCCTTTAAGCTCTTCAGCCGGACTGTGGTGGCAGGTTCACGCTTCGGACACTAGTGGTTGCTTGCCGGAAGAGGAAGAGGAGAGAGGGCCAGAAAAGTGGTTGACTTCGTAGGTACAAGGAGTCCGACATTTGGATAGCCATGAAGTAGGAGATGGGGGACGGCTGTATAAGATTCAAAGAGGAGCTGATTTGCCTCTGGCGAAAGACGCCAGGACATCAGCAGTGTTCACCACAGCAAGAGCGCACATTTGCATACTTCTCCTTCAAAGGCCCAGACGAGGCCACCTATCATGTTTAAGATGTTGAGCGATTGAATCAAGCTCACGTTCAACGAGTTGAAGGGCATGCCGGTGTTTCCAACAAGCTGATCCTCCACGCGCGCAGGCCACATCATGTCCGCGAACAGGCACAGACACGCTCGGACCGGCGCCGACAGGTCCGCAGATTTCCCGACAACGTCCGGAGACTGCGCTGCAATAGCCTCGAGCACAACGGGCCGCCTGAGCTCCTCGAGGACCGCTTCCATCGCACCGAAGTTCCTGAACGAGAGCGACTTGAAGCTTTCAGGATTTGGTGCAAAAAAGGTTGCGGAGGGGGGACGCCGGTGGTCAGAGACTAAGCAAAGCAGAAGTCTCTCCAACACGTAACCGATAGGAGGTCTCGCCAAGTCAAGATGCTAACGTTGGCGGATATTAGGAAGACTTAAGGTACTTGGCAACGGGCTTCTGCGTCCCGTTGCCGTGCATCCAGTGATTACGCTCCTGAGGGCGGCTTGTGGCTCAAAAGAGCTCTATTGTAGTTGCCTACAAGGCACTGGTATACATCGGATGAAGTGGAGCAGACCCTGACACAAAGAGCAGTCTTCTACGAACCAATGTATATGCGGCCCCCCATCAAAGTGGTTAGGCTGCACCACAGTGCAGAAAGTCCACCAACGTTCCTCAAAGCACAAGTTACCAGCGGAAACCGGTTCGTTCGGGTCTTTCTGCTTCAAAAGCTTGTATCCTTCACACCTAAAAGACACCGTGCGCACTCACCAGACCTGCGCTGATAGAGACGGGCTCCTGGTGAACATGCTTAGCACTTCCAGTACTTCCACGCGCAGCTCTCTGTGAACCTCCTGCAGCAGCCGCACGGTCGCTTTCAACATGCCCGCCGCAGCTGCATCCCGCCGCGCCTGATGGGAAGGCAGCTCGTCGATGGCCTGCACAAAAAGACTAGCTCTTAGTCAGCAAATAATCTAAATAAGGAATCGAAGCAGTGAAAAATATCATCTTAACAGGCGACAAAGCGCTGACAAAGCACGGGCGTCTCTTCCAGACGGCAGAGCAAGAGAAGACTGGAAGAGTCAGAGTTGGGAAATGCTCTGGCTGTCGCCTGCTTGCTCCACGGGCCTACAAAAAAAGGGAACACGAATAGAAAGCTTGACATGCAAACAAGCTCCACGACGGTTACCGGAAGGCATCAGAAAGTCGCCAAGGTACTCACGGCCTTCACCACCCGAAGCCCGCTCAGGCGCGCGTTGGAACTCCCGCCCCTCATCATCAGCTGCGCAGCGCCCTCCAGAGTCGTGTCTTTTGGAAGGTCGCCTTTCTGCAGCAGCTTCTGAAGCATCTGGTTGGCAGTCCGCCGCGCCTGTCTGTGTGCGGGAGTGCCCAAAACGCTCATGAAGGCGGAGATGGTCGCAACGTCTTCGGAGGGTTGTGCTGGGGGCCCTAGGCCCTGGTCCAAGCTCGGGAAGAAGTCGGGGTCCGCCGCTGCTCACAGAAAGAGAAAGTGTTTGGAACCAGTATATGAGCATTAGAACGGGCCAGCAATAACTGTAGATTTTTTCGAAGGAAAGTTCGTTGAACGCAAAAGTGCCCCCATGTAGTCCTGCTGGTCTTAGTGGACCGGCACGCCAGGAACTGCTTTCTCGGCTTATCTATGACGACGCGTTCTTGGACAAAGTGTGCCCGCTTTCTTGTGACGAGATTCACTACCCCTTTTGAAAGCAGCTGAGCGACGCTTTGTAAGCTTTTATAAACCCCCCAACTTCGCTGTCAGCAAATCAAGAAGTCAGCAGGGGTTCAACAAGTAGGGCCGTCTTGCCGTCTTGCCGTCTTGTCTGCCAGTCGGTGCCGGACATACCCTCGAACTCATCCTCACCTCGTCTCTCCAGCTCTGACGTCAGCCTGTCCACGAGGTCCTGGCGTTCGACACAGCCGGCCGTGCTGACGTTCAGCGCCTTCAGCTTCTCGTGCAAGTCCTTGATGCTCAGGCCCGAGACCGACCACAGACCTGAGGAGACACCATTTGAAATGATTGCTGAACGCGAACACCGGAAAGCTCAAGAACGAAAAAGCTCGGCGCCTCAAATCTGCCCGAATCAGATCAGCACCTTCTTCAAACACCGGTAACAAACCAGGCTTCGGTTCCTCGAGCGAAAAGTCCTTCGAAGCAGAGAACATCTAAAGAAGAGGAGCTTTGACGCAGATGTTCCCAATTGAGACACTCACTTGGTAGCCTCGTTTTCCCAGCGCTTCCCTCAGGGGTGGTCGAAGCGACAGGGGCAGCCGCGCTGCTACTAGACGTGCTGCTCGCGGCGGCCTCTTGAAAGGTGAAACGCCCTTCACCGCTCGACCGCGCAGCTGGTGGCCGCGTTTCGGGGCTCGGCTGTGCTGCCGATTTTCCAACTAGGGCGCGGACTTTCCGCTTCAGGTCCGCCTTCTCGAGGCACTCCTGGCAACCCACCCCGTGTTGCTGCAGCAGTCCTTTGAGCTCCTTCACGCTGAGTCGGTCAATGTCTTCCAGGCTGGGCAGGCCTTGAGCACGGCGGGAAGGGGTCGAGGAAGACGGGGCCTGCCAGACAGGTGGAAGATTCAGAAATCTAATGCAACCGAATCTGCAAATGGGTTTCAGGTTTGCAACTGGAAGGAACGGCAATGCACACAATCGTGTTCGTCAGCAGCAGGCGAACTGCGAGTTCTCAACGTGAATCTGCAGTTGCTGCCTCTATGTGGATTAAGAAGCCGTGTTTTCGGCCTACAATTGCGGATATCTCGCCTGCTTCGAGATCAAAACCGTCTCCCTACAGTAAGACGGCTGCCCTCGCCCTTTCTTCTCGAAACTCCATATATATTTTCCAAGATTCCATCAATCACAAAAACAAACGAGGAAGATGAGCAGGATGAAGTGTAAAACCTGAACTACTTTGACTCACTTGTTCTTCCGGCGCTGCAATCTCTACGTCCTTTAGAATCCTTAACAACGTGGCCGCTCGCTGCTTCGATTGCTGATCTCCATCCTGCAAACATCGGACCCAAGGGCATGTCAAAGGGCTTGAATTGGTCAAGCCAGACGCTGCCATCATCAACCATACCCAAGTCCGCATCTGAACTCTTATCATGGTTCAGAGGGTCAGCCTGCATTTGGAATCACCGTTTAGGTGCAGACAGTAGGTTCTCAACCCAACAGAAATCGCTCTTTCGCCATTCAAAGGCAGCCGGCAACGAGAGTTCTGCTCCACTCACGTTCTTTGGCCCGGCAAAGGGCTGCTTCAACGCTTTCTCTGCCACTTTTTTCGCTCCGGCCCGAAGCACCACCTCCGCGACTTGGGGACTCAGTTCCGCTGTTAAGACTAGGCACTGTAGAGCCACCCGCTGAACCTCCCCTTCTCTCTCAGAGCAGGACGCTAGCTCGACCAACCGGGGGATGAGCCCGGGCGCCCCAAGCACTTTTTGAGGGGCCTCTGGTCCGATGAGATTGTCACTATTTTCGAGGAAAGGGGTCAGGGCGTAGGCTAGCTCCATCTGCGCGTCCTCCCGTGTGTAGGACCTGACAGGAGAAGTTGTGGAATTTGAGTGAAATCCTACTGTATCAAGCAGCGGCTTCAGGGTTTCAGCAAACATGTCAAAGGAACTTCGAATTGACGCACAAAAAGTCCTAAACTGAGGGCTAGAGATCGCAAGCAAGTTGCTGCACACACGAGCGAAGAAAGCATTCTTAGATAAGATGCAGTGCACTCAACGAACGCAGAGATCTCAGAACCATGTGCAGACAGCGACAGCATACCTGGACCAGCGTTTGGTTTGCGGGTCAGAGATGAGGGCTATCATTTTGTCAACCGCCCCTAGCTTGAAGAACTCGAGTTGGTGAAAGAGCTGAGGGGAGCCAGGACACGCGAATGGGGCGTGACACAGCGCCGCAATACCCAGCGCAGCCTGACCTACAACCTGTGATAGAAACAAGAGTT